CTACAGAGATGTGTCCAGCACCAGCCAGGCCCAAGGTGAAAATTTTATACCAGCTGTCTACATTCACCTTTTTTATTCTGTCCACTTAGCAATAACATGTGACATTCTTTCTGTGGGTATCTTTGCAGTTGCTGTAACCTTATTAATTTGTTGTAAGTCAATTCTATTAATTTCTATGAGTGACATAACAAAATGTGATAACAACAGACATTTTTTTTTTCTTGCACACTCCTGGAGCTTACAAAATCAAGGTGTCAACAGGATTGGTTCCTTCTAGAAGCTCTGAGAAGGAATCTCTTCTATGCCTCTCTCCTTATTTCTGTTGGTGGACATCAGTTACACTTGCCTCCACTGTTACATGGCAGGATGTGTGTGTGTGTGTGTGTGTGTGTGTGTGTGTGTGTGGTCACATAGCCTTCTTCTTTATAAGGACATCAAGTCATTGAATTGAGTTGAAACGCTTGCTGCAGAGGATCAAAGACTGCAGCCTGCCATATGGGTTGCATCTTAACATCAAGAAAACAGAAATTCTCACCACTGGGCCAATGAACTCTGGTAGTTTAATAGTAAGAAATTGAGCTTCCAACGGAAAGGTATGCAGTTCAAACCTGCCATGGGAGAAAAATGAGCAGTTTTCTCCTGAGTTAATTACTGCCTCTGAAACCCCACTGGAGGATCAGCTGTGGACTCCACAGTACACAACAACAACAGCAATCAGGCCAATAGACAACATCATAATAGATGGGGAAGAGGTAGAAATTGTCAATTACTTCATCTCTCTTGGATCCACAACACCCTTGGCACTGAAAGCCAGGAGAATAAAAGACGTGTTGCACTGGGAAAGTCTGTTGTCACAGAACTCTGAAAAGGGCTGAAAGATGTCAATTTGAAGATTAAGGTGCATCTGATCCAAACTATGATCTTTTCTATTAATTTCTATGCCTCTGAAAGTCGGGCAGTGAATAATGACAGAAGAATCAGTGATTCTTTGAGTTGTGGTACTGGAGAAGAGTGCAGAATATCCCATCAACTGCCAGAAGGACAAACAAATCTGTCTTGGAAAAGGTACAGCCAGGGTGCTTCTTGGAGGCAAGGACAGTGAAACTTCATCTCACATACTTTGGGCATGTTGTCAGAAGAGCCAATCCTTAGAAAAGAACATCATGCTTGGAAAGGTGGAGGGCCAGCAGAGAAGACTCTTACTGAGATGGATTGACACCATGACTGTAATGGCAGGTTCAAGTGTGCCAGAGATGATGAGGATGGCACAGGATAGGGCAGGGTACAGATCCATTGTTCATAGTGTCACTGTGAGTCATGGTCACCTCAAGGGCACTTAACAACAATTAATCCATATGTACACTAGCTTTGAAACCTGCCCTATCCTGAGCCAATCTCATTGTCTCCAACAGACCTAATTCATTTTCTCCAGTCACCAAGTCCATCCATCTCATCCTGGGTCTTCCTCTCCTGCACTGTCCCTCGACCCTTCTAAGCATAATATTCCTCTCTTAGGACTGCTCCCTCCTGGCCATGTGCCTCAAAATCCTTGCCTCCAGGGAGCACCCTGGTTTCACCCTCTCCAGGACAGACCTATTTGTTGTCCTGGCAGTCCTGTATAGCTTTCTCTTAACTAATTACAAAGAAGATCACACACTGAGTTTCTGATGGATATGAATTTTGGGAAAAGACACTGTTCAACTCTGTACAGTCACTAAGCATGATCTGAATTCTTCAAAGTCCTGGCAGGAAGCAAACAGCATACTCAGAAAGGGCTCAGCTGGATGGGGTTTGATGGAGAAACTGTTGACAGAGGGATATTAAAGCACCAGGACACAGAAACTTCAGGAAGCCATTACCACTCCCAGATCCAAAAGTGCAAGAAGAGGAGATGGTGCCCCCAGAAGCCAGTGAGGCCTGGAACTGTGAGAGAAGGGCCTCCTCCCAGGAAAACAGAGCCACAGGCACAATGCAGAGAGGAAAGGACAAGTATGTGCAATGAGCCCCTGCCTCTCTCCCCTCCCTCATCCTGTTTCTGTCAGCCCTCCTCCATTGGTCCAGTGGGGAGCCACAGAGATTCCAAGTGAGGCATTCTGAAGGAATCCTCCCAAGTCAAGAAAGAGAATTTAAGAGGCTAGGGAGAAGGTAGGAGGAAACAAGCATGTGGCTTTTCCATTTATCTGTTCTAGTTGTGAGGTGGTTCAGTGGTAGAATTCCCACCTTACATGCAGTAAACCTGGGTTCGATTCCTGGCCAGTGCCCCTTATGTGCAGCCACCATTTTCAGTGGCAGTTTCATGTTGTCTCATCTCAGCAGGCTTCACCAGAGCTCTGAGATCAAGATGAGCTAGGCAAAAAAGGTCTAGTGGCCTAATTCAAAAAACTCATCAGTGAAAAGCCCGGATCAAAATAATCCTATCATCAAGCGACCATGGAGATAGCACGGAAGTGGACTGGGTTTTGTCTGACGATGCATGGATCTAGTATCAGCTTCGCAACAGCCAACCACAGTGTCACATTCATCATGAACATTGATTCTTGAGTTATCGGCTGACTACATTTTGGTAGGCTAGATGCATCCTGTAATCTGATTGGCTCAAACATAACCAGAGATGGCTGATCACACATATTCGTGCTGCAGAATCGGTCTTTGCAATGCAGTTGTGTCTTATGAGTTTGATTGTTCCCAGCTTAAGATATTCTGTCTGTGAAATTGCACCATACCCAGTGTCCTTCCCCTTAAAAAATGTTGAAAACATGTATTTCTTTCATCCAAGTGAGCAATGAGTGAAACTTAAGTACTGTGTTGGGCTTGAGCATTGCATTCTTGCTTCATGTGATCAGGCAGGAGGCCCAGAGTCAGTAAGATCCTGGAACAAGCCACGTTATGAGCTGGGGGTGATTGTTCTTGTGGTCATTAGTTCCTGTTAAGTTGTTTATCTTTGATGTCATTCCACAGCCCCTCTGGCCTTCGGTATTGAATGTTACATATGTATTCTTGAGATGATCTTTCCCCCCGCCTCCTTTTCTTCTCATGTTGTGTACCGTCTAATCGGATCTGACTGACACAGGAGAAGATTGCCCCTCCTTCTCCAACAGAGCATCTGGTGGATTTGAACCGCATGCCTTCGCTATTGCAGGGCAGCTTCTTGCCACTAGGCCACGAGAGCTTCCTTGAGATGATCTTTAACTCCACATGAGATATTTCAAGATTATGCTTTGACTTGCATGGGTTTGCTTTCATTTTCTTCAGGTTCAACTTGAACTTGCATATGAGCAATTGATAGTCTCTTTCCCAGTCAGGCCCTGATCTTGTTCTGATTTATGATGTGGAGCTTCTCTGCTGTCTCCACACTTCCAAGATGTAGTTGCCTTGGTCCTGTGTATTTCATCTGGGGAGGTTCACACATAACTGTTTTAAGTTGCTGGGGAAAGGTGTTTCCAATAAATAGATTGTTGGTCTTGCAAGATTCTATCATAGGATATCTGAATCAGTTTCTAGCACCAAGCCCTCTCTGTTTTTCCATCTACTGGTACTTCTCTGTTTATGACTTTCAGATTCCAATTAACCGTTATTATCAAGGCACCTGATTGCATGCTTGATCATTTTCAGGCTGCAGAGGCTGGTAAATATCTTCAGTTTCCTCATCTCTGACATTGATGTTTGGTGCATAAATTTGAATAGTCCTATTAACTAGGATATTAACTATGAATGTTAATCCTCGCATTGGCAGCGTTACACTTCAGAAAGATCTGGACCTTTCTTTTTTTACAATGTATGTGGTATCATTCAATTTTACATTCCCAGCACAGTAAACTCTCTGATTATCCAATTCAAAATGGCCAATATCAGTCCATTTCAGCCCACTAATCTTCAAGTGCTCCATTTCATTTTTACAACTTCCAATTTTCCTGATTCATGTTTTATACATTCCACGTTCCGATTATTAAGGGATATTCACAGCTCTTTCTCCTCATTTTGAATATTTCCCAACTTGAAGGTTTGTCTTCTAACACTTTATCAGACAATGTTCTGATGCTATTTATAAGGTTATAAGGTTTTACTGGCTATTTTTTAAGAAGCAGATCACTCCAAGATCTTTCGTCCTCATCTATCTTCCTATGGAAGCTCAGATGAAACCTGTCTGCTATGGTGACTGTGCTGGTTTTTTAAAGATCCATGGCTTTGCTTCCAGCATCATAGCAGTATGAATACCATCACAGTGCAGCAAACTGAAGACAAGTTGTGGAGGGAGTTTGGCGACTACTGGGATACCAGTTTTCTCATATACCAGTGTTAATCAGTAGATCACTGTGCTGAGGAGGACCTTGAGGTTGTACATCAGCAGTGCTGTGATTGATTAGTAATGTCTGTCATGGGTACTAATTGATGATGTCTGCCTTGTGCTGATGCAAGTGCGAAACTGCCATTTTGGAACTAGGTTGCTTTTTAGTGGAACATCACATGCCTTTTTGTTTTGTTTTGTTTTGTTTTGTTTTGTTACTTGAAAAATACATTATGTGCTTTCATGGGTCAGTGGTAGAATTCTTGCCTTCCAGATTCAGTGTGGGCAATACACCTCACATGCAGCCCTCACCCAACCGTCATTGGAAGCCTGCATGTTGCTTTGATGCAGAATAGGTGTCGATGAGGCTTCCAGACTAAGATGGACTAGGAAAAAAGTCCTGGTGATCTACTTCTAAAAACCAGCCAGTGAGTTGTGGCCATGTGAATCACAACTGAACACTGTCTGATAAAGAGGCAGTTGTGGGGATGGCACGAGACCAGTCCTCATCTCATTCTGCTAAGCACCATCTCCTTCCAGGGAACAGGAACCGACTCAATTGTAGATAACAACACTGTGTGCCTTTCTTCTCCTGCATCCTGTCTGAGGTGGGGTCCCACTGAGGGAGTCCCATCTTGGAGAACATCTGCCTGGCTCCACCCCAACCCCCCAGACCAACTGACCAAGGAAAATTTTAGTCTTTTCTTTCCCATAGGCCACCACCCACGTGTACGTGACCATTGTGGATGAGAACGACAACGCACCTGTGTTTCAGCAGCCCCACTACGAGGTGCTGCTGGATGAGGGCCCGGACACAATCAATGCCAGTCTCATCACTGTCCAGGCTCTGGACCTAGATGAGGGGCCCAATGGCACAGTGACCTACGCCATTGTCTCAGGCAACATCATCAACACCTTCCATATCCACAGACGCACGGTTAGCACCTGGCTGTGGGTCCAGAAGGAGGGTCAGGAACTGGTGGAGAGCCCAGTGATGTCATGAGGGGTGGGGAGAGGAGATGGAGTCTGGGGGAGAGAGAGAGATTGCCAGTGCTGGGAGAATGAAAATCCCAGGTGAAGGGATCTGGTGAAGAGGGCACAAGACTTCAACACCATGGCTGGAGGTTAGTTCTGAGCTCCTGCGGTGGCCAGAGGGTACCCTGTGAAGAAGCTGCTTCCCAGGGGGCTCAGATCTCCCATTCATCAAACCATCCTCCTCTCCTCTCTGTTCCTTCCTAGGGCGTCATCCGTGCTGTAAAGGAGTTGGACTATGAGATCAGCCATGGCCGTTATACCCTGACCGTCACCGCCACAGACCAGTGCCCCATCTTGTCGCACCGCCTCACCTCTACCACCACCGTGAGTGGACGGGGACACACCCCAGCTTGAGGATGATGACAGGACAGCACCCAGAAATTTCCAAAGCAAGAGGAAGAGCTAAATATTTGAGTGTCCTTAGAAAGGCCTAAATCCTAGAGCCCTGTCCCGGTCTCAGCAACTCAGACTTGCTGTGTGACTTTGAGGAAGTCATTGAACCTCTCTGTGCAGCTACATCAGGCAGATCATGGCATTTGCCTTCCTCCTCTTCATGAGGAGAGTGTGAACTCAAACCAGCAGAGACTCAGATGCCCACTCCTGCACCTCCTGGTGGAGGGGCCCTGTTATTGTTACTGTTATTGTTGTTGTTGTTGTGTGTCTTAGAGTCAGAACAGGCTTATAGCTAACCCTCCAGTGACTTTCTGGACCATAAATCGCACGAGAAGAGATTGCCTATTTTTATTGCGCAGAACAGCTGGTAGATTCAAACCACATACCTTTGCATTGGCAGCGCATTTCCTCATCACTAAGCCACCAGAGCTTTGGTAATAATAATTCATCCACATACACAGCTTAAAAGGCCCTTCCACTTCCAAACTCCCTTAAGATCCTTGTTTCAGTCTCTCAAGGCTGATATATTCCTATATGGGGGCCAGTTTGCAGATGAGGAGACTGAGATCCAGTGAAGAGCTAGGCTGGCACCAGGCTGACCAAGACACAGTCCATGGCTAAGCTTGTCCATCACCTCAGGTGCTTGTGAATGTGAACGACATCAATGACAATGTGCCTACCTTCCCCCGGGACTACGAGGGGCCATTTGACGTCACTGAGGGCCAGCCGGGACCCAGAGTGTGGACCTTCCTGGCCCATGACCGGGACTCCGGCCCCAATGGCCAGGTGGAGTACAGTATTGTGGCTGGAGACCCTCTGGGTGAGTTGGACCTGGAAGGGCTGGTGGGCCTGGGTGGACAGAATGTAGGGGTCCTTTCCTCTACTTATCAAGAACAGGGTGGTTTCAAAGGAGATCTCAAGGCATGGCCCACCTTATACGCTCTCTCCTTCATCAGCCACAGGATGAGGAAAGTAGCATTCTGACCTTTTCACAGGGATGTGGGGACAACACTGTGAAATATGGGGGACAGGGGTTTGTAGTCCCACCGATGGTCACTGACCTCACTGATTTCTGACAGAAATCAAAGCTTCTCCTCAAAACACGAGGGTGGAGGCCAGCAAGCATCCTGGCCACTTGTGAGCCACACAGCCCAGAGGTGGTTTAGCCACACACCACTGGGTGAGGTGACATGTTTAAGGTCAGGTCACCTTCCCACCGCTGCAGCCAGAGCATGGAAGGGCTCCCATCACAGGGAGATGTCTTTTGTGGCTGGACTGTTCCAGGTGCAAGGAGATGTGTAACCAGTGAACAAATGGGAAGCAGGCCAAGCTCACTCTCCTCTCCTTCCAAGCCTGGCCCTCTCAGGACCGCTGTGTCTCTGCTGGTCAGGCCCACCCCGTGTGTCTCTTCCTTACATCCTCATCTTTCCTGACACTCCCAGCTCCTTCAGTTCCCTGGTCCCCCTTCTGGCATCCCATGATGACACTAAGAGCAGCCTTGAGTCCAGCACCTATGGGGTGGACAGGCTTTGTCATTACCAGCACAGCCCTGCCCATGGCAACCCTTCATTAGCCCCATTTGCCAGATGAGAACATTAAGGCTCCGTAATGTGCCAAGCGCACACAAAAGTGGCATTAGGATGCAGACCTGATATGAATGAATCCAAAGCCCAAGCTTTTAGCAACCTATTTCCAGAAGATGTGGAAGAAGTCAGGGGCTCAGGGAAAGTTGGGGAATAAAAGAATTTAGCCTGCCACTCCCCACAAGTTGGCTATGAACAAATCTAGCCCAGTCCTCCCCTCCCTCGGGCCCCTCTCCTCTGAGCATCCAGCACCTCATCCCTGTCTTTAAGAAGGGGTGGGGTCTCCCTGACTTTGGAGAGCAGCAAGAGATAATTGGTATGCATTTGACCAGGGATAAGTCAGGTCTGGGAAATCCCTAAAAAAGGGAATCCCCAGATCTTGGAGACCTTGGAATGCCAAGCTCAGGAAATCCTGCTTCCAGCAGCTTCCGTGCCTCAAGGCAAGGCCAGGCCTGTGGACTAAGGGCAGGCTGAGAGCGGAAGCGCAGGGGGAGGCCACTGGGGGAGGCCCAGCCAAGTGGGACTTGGTGGATTGTGATTGTCAGTCACAGAGGTAGGAGGCAAGACAGGCATGGTGAGGGATGTGAAGAGGCCAGCAGAGAAAAGGTGGGGCACTTGGGCCTCTGTCCATGCCCTGTCTGTGCTGTGTGCCCTAGGATAAGTCAGCACCCTACCTTAGCCTCCTATACCATTTCTCAAAGTAATTTCCTCCAAGGTTCTAGGGCAACCTCACTTCTTAAAGCTCTCCCTACACCAGTGCTCACCCTCCCTCCCTTTTTTCCTTGCCTAGTGCACACCCCCAAAACTCCCACTCCAGTGGGCTCCTACTTGCTCCCCTGGCTCCTTTCCTCTCAGCCCACCTCTGCTTTTTCCCACCCTCCTTCTGTACCTTTCCACCCCATCAGCTCTAAGTGATGTGATCTGGAAAAGGATGCAGTGAGCCGAGACTCAGAGCCCTGGGTTCAGATCCTGTACTGTCAAGTACTTGCTGAGGGAGCTGGGATGAGTCATCCCCTTTCTCTGGACCCAGTTTCACTTTCCAGAGGATTTTATTCGCGATCCCCTCCAATGCAGAGCCTGAGAGCCCAACATTCGTGGGTACCTAGCTACCCAGTAAGGCCAAGACGAGGCCTGAGCCCAAGGGCGACCTGAGGAGTCAGAGACAGAAAGTCAGGGACCCTCATGGCCTGGGAGAACCCTGTGTGCACCCCACCTGTGACTCAATGCCTGGGATGAGTGAAGAGTGGGGGCTTTCCTGCCCCAGCTCCTCATTCCTTCAGGTTCTGTCCTGTCCCAATGTCTCCATTCACCATTAGCAAGACATCCCTTGGTTCTGTCCTTCCTTCTCCAATATCCCTCTTCCTGCTTTCCCACCCACCTTCTGCTTTCCCTTCCTTCTTTAACAAGATATGATGTCCAGGAGGATCACACATTTGAAAAGTTCTTGAGACCTTCACTAACCGATTTCTAATCAATGGTGGTAATAAAGTGGGTGTTATCGCTGTTAGAAGCCTCACATGACAGAGTAGAACTTCCCTATCGCTTTTCTAGTTTCTAGTTTGTAAGCTTTACAGGAGCAGATCATTAGGTCTTTCCTCCAAGGAGCTGAGGGTTGATTTGAACCTCTAACCTTTCGATTGCTTAGCAGAGGAGTTCTTAGAAAGAAAGCCCCTTAGAAAGAAAGGACTTGGATTGAAAGGGAAAAGAAGGTTGGCAACATGGTGACCAGGTGTGCGTCAGTGGAGCTGTGCTCCCTCGGATTGCCAATGACTGGCTTTTCAGAGATAAGCTGCCAGGACTTTTTTTCCAAGGTAACCTTCAGTGGACTCAAATCACTAACCTTTTGACTAGTAGGAAATACGTAATTCTTTGTGCCACACAAGGACATTGGAAAGAAAGCCCCCACTTTTTTCAGTTTAGCTCCCTTAACCAGGTCAGTCCCTAGGCTGCCCGCTGAACAGATGGAAGAAGTGGCCTATTCTAAAATTGGGGGACCAGGCTTTGGGAGGATCTGGCTAATCACAGACACAACAGGGGCATGAGCGGACAGTGCTCACCTGTACCCCCAGGAGTCACCTGTTCCCCTCACCTCTGCACTTTGCAGCCCTCAGATCCACATGAGCTTCTGAGCTGGGGGAGTAAGCTTTGCTAGAGGAAGCAGGAGAGGCCAGAGCTCAGGGCTGCTGACTCTGGCCTCTCCGGGGCACCCCCAGGGGAGTTTCTCATCTCTCCCGTGGAAGGGGTGCTGCGGGTCCGGAAGGACGTGGAGCTGGACCGGGAGACCATCGCCTTCTACAACCTGACCATCTGTGCCCGAGACAGGGGCGTGCCCCCACTCAGCTCCACAGTGAGTCTCGAGACCCCCTTCCACTGGCTTCACTCCACATTCCAGTGAGACACCCCTGTGAACCAGATCATGTCTTTCCCCACCAAGATCTCCCAGTTTTCTCAGGACTCGCAATGTGGATACTACTAGTCAGAGCCAGACATGCTCCTCAGCCCTCCTCCAACCCCGCCACTCTTCTGTACCCAGCCCTCCCCCACCACAGCCACACCCCTGCACACAGCCCTTCCCCACCATGGCCACGCCCCTGCACCCAGCCCTCCTCTCCCCTGGCCATGCCCCTGCACCCAGCCCTCCTCTCCCCTGGCCATGCCCCTGCACCCAGCCCTCCCCCACCACGGCCACGCCCCTGCACGCAGCCCTCCCCCACCACGGCCATGCCCCTGCACACAGCCCTCCCCCACCACAGCCACGCCCCTGCACACAGCCCTCCCCCACCATGGCCACACCCCTATGTCAAGCCCTCCCCCAGTTGTGGGCATGCCCCTGTGCACAGCCCCAGCCATCCTTAACCTTCCCTCTGCCAGACCTCTTCATCCTACTTAGCATCCTCTTTTGCCTTTTTTATTATCCTTTTTCATCTCCACCGATTCCACCTTCTTTTCCCCAATCTCCACCCCTTGCTGTCTTCTCTATCCTGTCCATCACCCCCCCTCCCCTGCCTCCACACCCACAATCTATTTGTTTCTTCTCCTGTCCTATGGCCCCCTTCCTCCGTGTCCTGTCCCTGTTCACCCCCTCTTTGTCCGGCCTCCAGATGCTGGTGGGGATCCGGGTGCTGGATATCAACGACAATGACCCGGTGCTATTGAACTTACCCATGAACATCACCATCAGTGAGAACACACCTGTCTCCAGCTCTGTCGCCCACATCCTGGCCAGTGACGCTGACAGCGGCTGCAACGCCCTGCTCACCTTCAACATCACTGCTGGCAACCGAGAGAGGGCCTTCTTCATCAATGCCACGGTAGGGCCACGACTGACTCCAGAAGGCCTTCCAGCGGGTCCTGCAAAAGAGGACCCATTCTAAACGCTTAGTTTCTGCATTTGTCAGCACTCCTGCTCAGGCTCTCAGTAGCTACCCCTCCACTGGGTCTATAGGGGAGGCCTGGGTTCTCAGCTGACCATCTCTGGGGTCCACTAAGCCAGCGCTGTTTCCCCGTGAGCCCTAACGCTTGTCATGTGTAGGAGTGATACCAGTGGCGCTGGTACTCTTGGTTGGTCTGTACAAAGAAGGGCCAGGAAGTTCTCACTTGGTCTCTTGGAATGTGACCATGATGTCTACACCACATCAGACCTGATGGATGGTGGCTTCCTGAGCCCTGGCAAGACCCCTCAAATCTAAGCCAGGCTTGCCCCTCTCTAGACTGTGTCTTTGGTACTTAAGGAGGAAATTTACAACCACGCTTGGAGCTGCAGGCAGAGCAGGAACCTGAGGACAGGTCACTGCTCCGCTCACCAGCCTTCCACATGTCAGACAGGGATCGTCACCGTGAACCGGCCTCTGGACCGAGAGCGGGTCCCACAGTACAAGCTGACTGTATCCGTGAAAGACAACCCGGAGAATCCACGCATAGCCCGCAGGGTGAGGCTGGAGGTCCGGGTGGGAGCAGGGATGGGAGGGATTGGCAAACAGAGACAGACAGCTCCCTTCCAGGAGACAGCATGGCCTGAGGGATTAAATGCACAGGCGTTGGACCAGCAAGTGCTGGGTTCAAATCCCAGAATCACTTGTCACATATATGTAGCTTTGACAAGTTCATTTATTTTATCACCTACTTTCTCTTCTGCAAAATGATGAAAACATTTATCGTAATGTGGAGATGGTCAAAGGAGCCAGTGTGTTTCAAGTATCCGAGGCTATAAAATCCCCTAGATACAAAATATTCTCTTCCTCTCGCAGCACCAGGGCCCCGACACTCACCACAGCAGTGTGCAAACAAAGTAGTCTGCACACAGGGTTGTGCGTGCACTCAAAAATGCAGCCTCTATCTAGGTTCCCTCCTGTGGGTCCTTCCAGACTCACCTATGGCCTCATTTTCTGAATAAGGTGAGGGGAATAGGCCTGCCAAATACACTTCAGGATGCCATTAAACCTCAATTTCAAAGGAAAAACAAACAACTTGTTTTGTGCTGATGTATCACATTGCAAGTCTTCGTAGAACTATTCACACACATTGCAGATTTCCTTGCTAAATCTGACACGCCTCGTGGTGTGGAGAATAAACTAAAAAATAAGCCACTGCTATCAAGTACGTTCTGACTTGTAGTAACTCAGTCAGTGCTGGGTTTTCAAGGCTGCAAGTGTTTACAGGAGACTGCCTTGCTTACAGGAGACTGCCTTGCTCTCTCCCAGGGAGCAGAGCGGCTGGTGGATTCAGACTACCAACCTTTGGTTCACAGCTAATTCACTTGCTGGGTCAAATGGTATTTCTATTTCCAGCTTTTTTTGAGAAGCGCCAAACTGCCTTTCAGAGCAGTTGCACCATTTTATACTCCTACCAGCAGTGAATAAAGGTTCTAATCTTTCCCCGGGGGTGGGGGAGATAGAGATAGAGAGACAGCCTCTGAGTCCTGAAAGGGCAGCGTCTTCCGAGTGGCATTCCCCTCAAGAAATAAAGACACTGACTTTTTACTGACAGGTGGTCGGTTCTAACAGCCCCTTTGGGGACGGGGTCTCTCTGCAGCCCAGGAGGTGTGGAGCAGAGCACTGTCTGGGACTCTTGAGCCTGGCTCAGATCAGCTGAGCTGCTAACTGACAAACCACTGCTCTTCTGGGCTCACTTCCTCCATCTTTTTAGGCATGGAATCCTCCCTGCTCGGGTCCTTAGAAGCCATCTGCCACTCTTTTTCTGTGCCCCCCTCTTACTCCCTACCTCACCTTTTCCCTCTCCTGCTTCCCCCCTTCCTGGTTCCCTTCCTGCCAATCCAGTAGGAAGGAGCCTGGATTACCTTGGGAAGCAGCAGCATGGGTTGGTGGGAATTAGGAGTCTTGGGTTCTAGTCCCTTCTCAGCTGCTAAGTCACCATGTAACTTCGAGGACTCGCATCGCTCTCTGGGCCTTGGCTTCCCTGTCTCTGAACTGGAGATAGTGCCCCAGGGTCCTAAGATGGGAGCAGACTTGGTTCAGAAAGTATCAAGTCTGGCAGTGAGCGAGAGTTTGGGTGGGCTCTGACTAGGTGTCAGGCAGGTTTGAGGTGCCAAAAACAAGACCCATCCTTCTGTCTGAAGCCTTTAATTACTCAAAATGAGATATGATTCAATACATTTTACACTCATTGTCTCCCGTGAACAACAACCTCCATGAAGGAGTTAACATCCCCATTTACTGGACTGGAAGAAAAACTGGGACCCCAGACAGGAGAAATGACTGGTCCAAGGCCATCCCATGAACTTGAACCCAGGTCTCTGAACTCCTGGTTTAGACTTTTTGATGACTCACTTCAGTGCCCTCAGCTCCCCCAGCCACACCTCCCAACCACCTCCCACTAGGGTGCTTTGCTGGAACAAGGCCTTTGACTTGCACCTCATCCTGTCCCCTAGGATTTTGATTTTCTGCTGATCTTACTTTCGGATGAGAATGACAACCACCCCCTCTTTACCGAGAGCACTTATCGAGCAGAGGTGATGGAGAACTCTCCCGCTGGTAGGTGCTGGGAACTCCTGCCATTGCCAGGCACTGCGATGCCTGAGGACACACCTCCTGCCCGGTAGGGGCCCCCCTGAAGCCTGTCTGGGGAGGCAGCCTTACCATGAGGCTAAAGCACAGACCTCTGTGGATGCAGAAGGGCAGAGGAGGAGAGACTGGCCGGCTGGATGCCAGGCCTCTAAGCAGAACTTTTGGTTGGAATAGACAACTGTGACCATGAGCCCAGTATGGTCTGAGAGCTCACCCTTCAAGAGGGGCATTTGTGTGAAGACTGGCTGCAGTCAGAGCTGGGGTCAGGGGCCCCATAATGGTCAACAAAGACCATTCCCCGTACTCTCCCTTCTAAGGAACAGTCTCCTCTGTAATGTTCCATGTGCGAGGCCTATTCCTCTTCCAGCCCCCTCACTCCTTTAAGTTTAGATACTAGAGAGATGAGCTGAGATCCTTCTAGGCTCTGGCAGGGCCTCGGTGTGGCTTGATTCTCAAGCTTCACCTGTGTATACCTTCATGCAAAGGCAGTGTGTGTCCTTACCTGGTACATGAGTGAGCTTACCGGTGTGTACTGACACACAAGGGCACAGGTGCCAATACCATGCAAAACGTGCACACCTGCAAAGCAGACACGCCCATGCCCCAGCAGATCACGTGCTGTGACTCCTACCATGTGGACACACACACTGAGTCCTAGTCAGATCCACACAGGCGCCTGCGCACAAGGTGTCGTGCGCACCCCTGTAGACAGGCAGATAGACTGGACGCATGTGTGTACACCCAGGTAGGACCCGCTCACGGGAAGGGGACATCAGGGAGCCCCCAGACCCTCCCAGGAGTGGCCAGCCTCAAAGGCTGCTGGGAAGGCAGGCGTGGCTCGGGCGGGCCAGGGGCTTGCTCACGCTGTTGTGTTTTCTCCCCAGCAGGGCTTTGAGGCCGCTCCCCAGGCTTCTGCGTTCAGTCTGCCAAGGCTGCCGCAGCCCCGCCCTGGCCTCCCCCTCCCTCCCCTTCCCTCTCATCCATCCTCAGCCATAGTTCACCGGGATGGGCAGGGAGGGGGGTGGGGGGGGGCGCGGGGCCCTGCAGTGACCGCTCTCCCCTCGGCCCAGGGACCCCCATCACGGTGCTCAATGGACCCATCCTGGCCCTGGACGCTGACGAGGACATCTACGCCGTGGTAACCTACCAACTGCTGGGCACTCAGAGTGGCCTCTTTGACATTGACAACAGTACTGGTGAGTCATCCTCTCCTGTCACTACCCCTGGCTGAGTCTCCCCCTACTTGGGTGGAAGCAGCCCCACTGCAGGGGCTAGGGACACCCCTTCTCCATGCTGCATCCTGGTTCCACGTGACATACTGCTTCTCCATCCCAGAGCCCACAGCTAGCAGCCCTGGGGTCCTGTTGGGGAAATAGGCAGAGGACCCAGGAGGAGGCTAGAGATAGCAGGCAGGATGTGCTGGTCCCTCTTAGCCTAGGCAGAAAGCCCACCTAACTCCCTGCACCTCCCCTGAACAGGCTCCCACACCCTCATTAGTCAGAAACAGCCAACACAGCTCTTCTGTCCCTACATCAGCCCTGAGGCTTTCAGAGATTAGGCCACGTCAGTCTGGTCCTGGACAAAAGACTGGTTTGGCACACAATAACATGTTTCTCGGTGGAGCAGGGCAATCCTCCACCCTGGTCACTTGTCCCAGGCAGGACTCCTGAGGACAGCATAGGACACCAAGGGAGGAAAACTGTAGATGCCACATTCTGGCACATAGCATCCACACATCAAGATGCGTTGTTAGATATTTAGGGAATGCAGAACAGATCATCCGAAACGCTGGGCTGTACGAGGAGGAATGTGGCATCAGGATTGGTGGAAGAGTCATCAACAACCTGTGTTATGCAGATGACACAACCCTGCTTGCTGAAACTGAGGAGGCCCTGAAATGCTTGCTGCAGAAGTCAAGGACTGCAGCCTCCTATATGGATTGAAGCTCAACATCAAGAAAACAAAGATTCTCACCACTGGGCCAATTGGCAGCATCAGTATGGATGGTGAAGAGATTGAGATAGTTAACAGTTTTAGTTTGCCTGGCTCCACAGTCAACACTCTTGGTAACAGCAGCCAGGACATCAAGAGACAAATTGCATTGGGAAAGTCAGCTGTGAGGAACCTCTCAAGAGTACTGAAGAGCAGTGGTGTCTCTCTGGAGACTAAGGTGCGCCTGATCTGGACTATAGTCTTTGCAATTACGTGCTATGCATCAAAGTTGGACAGTGACTAGGGATGATAGAAAGAGAATTGATGCCTTTGAGCTGTGGTGCTGGAGAAGAGTGTTGAATATACCACGGACTGTTAGGAGAATAAACAGATTTGTCCTGGAGAAGGTGAAGCCTGAATGCTCCTTGGAGTCAAGGATTCTGAAGCTTCATCTGACATATTTTAGGCATGTTACAAGGAGAGACTGGTCCTTGGAGAGGGACATCATGTTTGGGAGAATAGAGGGATGGTGCAGGAGAGGAAGACCTTCGATGAGATAGATCAATTCTGTGACTCGAGTGGTGGTAATGAGTGCATTTGAGATGGCTAGGTTGGCACAGGATAGAACAGTGTTCAGGGATCTTGTACATAGGGTCGCTATGAGTTGCAAGTGACTCGATGATACATAACAACAACAACAAAGTGTCTCTTTTCTTTCGTGTCTTACTGTCACCATCCTATCTCCCCTATTGTACCTCCCTAACTGATGGCACTTTGTGACAGGCGTGGTGACGGTGAGATCAGGGGTCATCATTGACCGAGAGGCTTTCTCTCCTCCCATCCTGGAGTTACTGCTGCTGGCCGAGGACATTGGACAGCTCAATGGCACAGCTGATCTGCTGGTCACCATCCTGGATGACAATGACAACTGGCCCACATTTAGTCCAAATGCCCTCACCGTCCATCTGCTGGAGAACTGCCCACCAGGTAAGCAGGAGGACGAGTCCCAGTTAATCACCGGGCCTTTCTCCCAGGGCACCAATGGGTGGATTAAAGTCCTCAACATCATGGGGTGGCAGCCAAATGTATTAATAGTTTGTACTATCCAGGAGCCCCATCAAAGGCTGATGAAAAGTTACAATATTTAAAACCATGTCGTATGAGGTAGCCTGTGAAAGGACCATATGCAAAGTTGTGGTGTCCAAGTCTGACTTCTACCTACTTCATAAAAGAAAACTGTCCCCATCAATAATATCCAAAATACCAAAATGGCTACAAGATCAGACATGCCACCCCCACTCCATGCTCTTGAAGGTTTTTTTACCAACCATTGGATCTGATGTTTTTGCAAGATTCACAACATTTACTCAAGTTGTGGAGTTTAATAGGGAAATAGATTGCAGAGTGGAGGAGGCAAGGAATATCATACAATGCAAGTCCAGTTTTAATCCAGCATTCCCAAGCCAGATTAACAGCAAGACACAAGTCTTCAATTAGCAAAAAGCAACTTCTTAGTCAACCAATGAAAGTCTAGGTTCAGTTCAGTGGCACAAATGCAAGAAGCCTCTGGTTTCCTCAATCATCCAGCAAACTTTATCTCAGAGCAGTTGTTTGTAAACTTTTCCATCAGCCATCCAGAAAACAAAACCTTTCATTGTGGCTCTCTATCTCCAAGGTTCCTCTGGTTAATCTCAAAGCAGTGCCACCGTCTCTTTACCCTCTCTCCACCGCCATAGTCTCCACTACCATCTTTCACAGTGTGGAAAGCATTCTCTTATATTGGCCTTCCAGCTCTTGATGATTTGCAAGGCTCTATGTCCTCAGCTAAAGTAACTGGATACCATGCCCTTAACGAAGGCTAACACAATGCCCCTAATGAGGGCTGATACCCCATAACCCAATAAACATGTTGGTAAATTAAAGAATATAATATTATATAAAATTATCAATTCATCAGGGAAAATATGCTATTTAATGTGGAAAAAAGTGTTTCTGGTACAGATTCTTACCCTTTGTCAGACACTATAAAATTCAGATGCATTATAGAAAAGGTATAAAAGAGTTATTATTGTTGTTAAGTGTGGTTAAGTCAACTACAACTCATATCAACCATAGTGTTGCTATGTACAATAGCACTGAATCTTACTCTATCCTCAGCCAGTCTTACTCTCTCGACACACTTACCTTCATTACTCCAGTTATTGTGTCAATCCATCTTATCCAGCATCTTTCTTCCCTGGGTCCTCAACCCTTCCAGCCATGATATCCTTCTCCAAAGACTGGTCTATGTGGCAGCATCCCCAAAGTATGTGAAACGGAACAGCTTGGTTTCACCCTCTCCAGAACAGGCCTGTTAGTTCTTTTAGTGGCCCGTGCATGGTTCAGTACTCTTCTCCAACACCACAACTCAAAGACATTGATTTTTCTTCTGTCATCCTTGGTCATTGTCTAGCTCTCTGATACATAGCAAGTAATTGTGAAGACCATGGTCTGGATCAGGCACACCTTAGTCCTTAGACTGACATCCTTACTTTTCAACACTCTGGAGAGGTCCCTGACAGCAGATTTTTTCCTATGCAATTTGTCTACTGATTTCCTGACTGCTGATGCCAAGAGCATTGATTGTGGCGCCAAGCAAGCTGAAATTGTTAACGATCTCAATCTCTTCTCCACCTATCATGAAGCTGCTAGTTGCTGCAGTGGTGAGAATCTTTGTTTTCTTGATGTTGAGCATCAATTAATATTGCAGACTATAAGCACTAAAAAAAATTTAAAAAGAACATTCAAGTGCAAATTATCCAATTTTCTAATAAGATTCTACATCTAAGAACAGCTGGTGGATTCAGAATACTGATCTTTTCTTTTGTAATGGGTCTATTAAAATTAAATTTTCTAGCTCTGTTAATTTAGGTAGACAGTGAGAGTCTAAAACTGCACCCATTCCTCTAGGTTTTCAAATATATTGGGCTACAGTTCTTCATGGAATTCTGTTATTATCCTTTTTTTATTTCAGCTCTGTTGTGATGTCACCTATGGCATTTCTTATTTGCTTTTTTAACTCTTTGCCTTCTTTTTTTATTATATTTGATGGTGACTTATTTATTTTATTAATCTTTTCCAAGAACTTGAACTCTTTGAAACAATTTAACTCTTTTTTTCTGTTTTATTTTCTTCTGCTTTCATTTCCTTTCTTCTGAACTTGTAGGTTTAGGTTCCCACACTTTTTGCTAATTGTCAGAGATGTTGAGTTAAGGTAATTTTACTTCTTTCTTTCTTGAGGCATGTGTTTTTAATTATGAATTTACCTCAAGCACTCCCACAGATTTTTATATACTGCATTTCCTTTTTTTACTTGTTTCAACAAAATTTCAATTTACTTTTTTATTTCTTCTGTTACCCAATAGTGTTCAAGAAGGATGCTATTTGGTTTCTACGTACTTGGGATTCCCACCCCCACCCCGGCTGATCATCCTAATACTGATTTCTAATTTCATACCATTTCTATCTGAGAATACACCTTGTAGTACTTTATTTTTTAATTTGCCGAAGTTTGCTTTATGACCAAACAGGTAGCCAATTCTAGAGACTGTTCCATGTGCACTGAGGAAGAATGTATCAAGGCTTATTGATAACATGCAATGTGTAGATACCACAGCCTTGCTTGCTGAAAATGAAGGACACTCGAAGCGTTTACCAATGAAGCTCAAAAACTGTAGCTTCCAATATGGATTACATCTCAATATCAGGAAAGGGAAACTCACAATTAGACCAATAAACAACATTGTGTTGTTTTTGTTGTTGTTGTTTTTGTTGTTAAGTGCCATCGAGTCACAGGCAACTCATAGCGACCCCATGAAGGAGAATCTTTGATGCTTGAGTGCCTTTTATCCTCTCTCCAGAAACAACATTATGATATTAAAAAAAATATTAACATTTTCAGGAATTTCATTTTGCTTGGATTTACAGTCAATACCATAGAAGCAGCCATCTAAAAAGCAATTAATGTATTCATTGCATTGGGTTTTTGTTAAGAGTCGACTACAACTCATAGCGACCCTATGCACAATAGCTCTGAACCATGCTCTATCCTGAGCCAATCTCACTCTTTTCTGACACACCTACCCTCATTACTCCTGTTATTGTGTCAACCCATCAGCCCTTCCAAGCATGATATTCTCCAAAGACTGGTCCCTCCTTGCTACATGCCCAAAATATGTGAGACAGATTCTCAAAATCCCTGCCTCCAAGGAGCAGCTTGGTTTCTCCCTCTTCAGGACAGACCTGTTAGTTCTCTTGGCAGTCCCACAGTATGTTCACAACTCTTCTCTAGCACCACAGCTCAAAGGCATCAATTCTTCTGTAATCCTTGGTCATTGTCTAGCTCTCTGATTGGAAAAAAAATACCAAGACCTGGATCAGGCACACCTTAGTAGTGGTCTAAAAATCAAAGAGCCTATTTACTGCATTGGGATAATTTGCTACAAAGATCTTGTTAAAGAGCTACAAAGCACAGCTGGCACTTTGAGGACTGAGGTGCACCTGACCCAAGCCATGGTATTTTTTCAAGTGCTTCATGTGTGTGCAAAAGCTTTTAGGTGCACAAGGAAGACTGAAAAAAGAATTGATGCCTTTGAATTGTGGTGTTGGCAAAGAACATTGAACATTCTATGGGCTGTCAGAAAAAAACAAACAAATCTCTCTTGGACAAAGTGCAGCCTGATGTTATTGTTTTTGACTGAGTTCTCTAGAGAAACAAAACCACTGAAGCTTAAAAAGAGAGAAACATTTATTTCAAGGAAATGGTTCATATGCTATGGAAGCTGACAAGTCCCAGGTCTTGCCCCTGGGCCAGACCTCAGGAGAGAGGTGTCTGGGGAGGCTAATGAGTCTAAGTCATCAATAGGCAAGTCATCAACAGACTGCTGACTTCAGAGACTGACAAGCCCAAAGTTGAATGAGGACAGGCTTCTGATTCAAATGCAGCAGTTATAAACCAGATACAGAGTTGGACAAAAAGCTCACTTACTTTACCACAAAGTCCATACATATATTAAGTGCATGTATGTGTGTGTGTGTGTGTGTGTGTACACACAATATACACATATTTTTGTTGTTATATGCCATTGGGTCACCTGCACCTCATAGCGATCTTGTGTACAACAGTCCTAAACTCTGCTCTATCCTGTGCCAACCTTATTGCCTCTGATACACCTATCACCATTACCCAAGTCACTGAATCAATCCATCTCATCTAGCATCTTCCTGTCTTGCACTGTCCCTCCACTCTCCCAAGCATGATGTCCCTCTCCAAAGACTGATCCCTCCTTGCATCATGTCCAAAGTATGTCAGATGAAGCTTCAGAATGCTTGCCTCCAAGGAGCAGCCTGGCTCCACCCTCTCCAGGATGAACTTGTTTGTTCTCTTAGCAGTCCGTGGTATATTCAATACTCTTCTCCAGTACCACAGCTCAAGGACATAAATTCCCCTTCTGTGATCTCTAGTAACTGTCCAGCTTTCTGATGTATAACAAGTAACTGCAATGACCATGACCTGTATCAGGCGCACTTTAATCTCCAGACTGACATAGTTGCTCTTCCATACTTTGGAGAGGTCTCTGACAGCAGACTTTCCCAATGCAATTTGTCTTTTGATTTCCTGACTGCTGGTGCTAAGAGTGTTGACATATTTATTAATATACACCCAGAGAGGACTTCCCCCTCATTAGATCAAGCTGATTATAACTTTACATAACTGCCTCTAGTCCTGCCTCATTAATGTCATAAAGGCTAGAACTTAAAACACAGAATAGTTACAGTGATCCAAGGATCATGGCCACCTCCACATAATACCAACATCACAGCTCATCAATGTCAAGTGGGAACCAACTCATAATTGACCCTCTAGCAAAGTTTCAGAGGCTGTAAATCGCACAGAAGGAGATTTCCCATCTTTCTCCCACAGATCAAATTCAGACCACTCCCTACCCACTAGACCACCAGGTAGAGGTGTAGGTGTAGATACAGATCTCAAGGACGTACATGAATTCTCTATTTTTGTTATTTTATAGAGAGTTCTGGTGGCCTAGACTGTAAGTAGTTGTTCTGCTCACTCAAGTGGTGCCTCCAGCCACAACTCGGGGAAAAGATGGGCAATCTCCTCCTGTGACTTAGAGCCTCTGAAAAAACCCCTGAAGTATTTGAGGTGATTCTGACTCAATGGCAATACATTTAAGGGCTTGGGTTTTTTAATTGTGTTCTGTTTTATTGGTTTTCGTTCAATTGCTCATACACATTTTGTTTGATAACATTAATTACAATTAAGTAATACTCTTATTTACAAAGTCATATCAAATCCTCACTCTACCCCTCTTTCCTTTCACCCTACCCATCCATCCACTAGTCTCTGCTCCCCCACTTCCTCCACCCTGTTCTGTTCACGATCACGTCTGTGTGCAATCCTTTCTTTAGCCTTTTCAAATATAGTATCTAATATAGTAGCATTATTTCTTTTGATTTGGTTTTCTTTGTTTTTCTTGAAGAATTAGACCAGATGATCTCTGAGATCCTTTGTACTAGTTCAGACAGGAAAATAAAAGGTTGCATAAAGAATGGCTTCTGTGCAACAAGGTAAATGTGCATCGCTGGGTCAGCAGCCCGAGACCCTTGTGAGGCATCAACAAAGTTGGACCACTGAAAAAGAACACTTTGCAGAAGTTGGTGATAATTGACATTTAAAAAAATATCAGAGTAGCCATGGAGAAATTCAGGATTTGAACATTGTTTCACAAAATCTGGTGGTTTGTTATTGTTGTTCTGTTGAATTACGGTTGGTTTTTTTTTAAGGATTTTTTCCCCCAGCTCTTGAATGCTCTACAGTTGGTTGCTAGGACCAGTCTTGTGTCGCTTGTAAACACAGTGTTTTAAGTGACCTTGCAGAGGATCCCAGAGGAGCTCCTAGGGAAGACCACTGTGACTGCTCAGCAAACCCCACCCCCATCCCCTCTCCACAGGATTCTCAGTCCTTCAGGTCACAGCCACAGATGAGGACAGTGGCCTCAATGGGGAACTGATCTACCGCATAGAAGCTGGGGCTCAGGACCGCTTCCTGATCCACCCAGTCACCGGCATCATCCGCGTCAGCAACGTGACCATCGACCGGGAAGAGCAGGAATCCTACAGGCTGACGGTGGTGGCCACCGACCGTGGCACTGCCCCTCTCTCGGGCACAGCCATCATCACCGTCCTCATTGATGACATCAATGACTCCCGCCCTGAGTTCCTCAACCCCATCCAGACGGTGAGCGTGCTAGAGTCAGCAGAGCCGGGCACCGTCATTGCCAACGTCACCGCCATCGACCGCGACCTTAACCCCAAGCTGGAATACCATATCATCGGCATCGTGGCCAAGGATGACACTGACCGCCTGGTGCCTGACCAGGAGGACGCCTTTGCAGTGAATATCAACACAGGTACAAAGGTTTGCCACCAGTCCCCGCTCCCCAACTCCCTGCCCCTGACCCCTCACTCTATTTCTTATCTTTTCTTTCCCTGCTTCCCCCTTTCCCTCAACTGACTGCTTGACTTTATTTTAATTTTTATTTTACTTTGATGTTTTATTTTGTGTAAAAAAAAAAAGGGGCAAATTTAGTGAATTATTTTTTCATTGTGTACACAGTTATAATTTCAATGCTTTTCACATCTATGCTGAAAATTTGCAGTTTGGTAAAACTGAAAGGAACATAAATTTCTCTGAAGGAATTTTCATGCCATTATATACACTTCATGAGAAAGTTTCAAACACTTTCTCTGTGATTACAAGTTACCAAGAAAATAAAAGATTAAATTTGTACAGATATTGATCTATATATCAAATACATACCGAAGTGATGTCAGAAGCTTATGCAGTTTTCTTGGACCTCTGGCCTCAAAAGATTTGCCCAGTTACAGATGTGTTTAATTTGTATAAATGACTGTGCCTTTCTCCTCTCTTCTTTCCCTTATTGACATCTTCTACCCTCTCTCCCTGTCTCACTTTTCTTCTTCCCTCTCTGCTTTCTCTCTCCTCCACTGACCAGTTCAGCACTAGTGGGATAGTGGTTAGCATAGCTGCCTTCCTTCACTGACCAGCTCCGCCTTTTCCTGGCACCAGTGCTGTATGATGGAGACTGTATCTCCATCCTCTTGCCAATCTCTCTGTAACTCAGCAGGTGACTTGATGGTAAGGAGATGTGCCGCCAACCCAAAGGCACGTAGCTGGAACCCTCCAGCTGATCTGTGGGAGAATGATGAGTAATCTCCTCCCATGCACTTTACTGTCTCTGAAAACCCACTGCAGGGTCAGCTGAGAGTCAGTTTTAACTCAGTGGTACATTAACAACAGCATGTTTTTAGACAAATAATCCACACTTGTTTGCCAGTCGGTCCCTCCAATAAGAAGAAATTGTTGTGTCACTATGCTATTTAAAAACAAACAAAAAACAAACCCACCAAACTAGTTGCTATTTAAAAAAAACCAACAACACCAATTAATATATCACATTTACAAAAAAGACTTTGGGGAAAGAAGAGTTTTTAGACGAAGACCAAAGGTGATTATTATTTGCAGGGGAAAAAAGTATCTCCCATTTTCCATGCTTGTAATTTTATGAGAAAATGATACCATGCATTTCTTTACTGAGTGGTTAAATGCTTTCTCCATATGGTTTAAATATTTAAACATGTAAATAAACTGAAAGTCATTTCTGTACCCTTAAAAATGTCCTTAGACTGTCATGAAACCTAAGACGCTCTGGCTTAGTCCATAGAGAGATGCTTTGCCAACCCAAAGGCGCTATTTCTCTGGTGGTTTGAATCCACCAGTGGCTCACAGGGAGGAAGATTAACATTCTCCTCCTGTGCAGTTTACAGCCTCTGAAAACCAGCTGGAACGTCAGCTATGAGTCAGCTCTGACTCCATAGCAGTGAGAGATCATGAAACAAAGAGAACTTGGACTTATCTTTCAGTTGATTTCATGATATTTTATTACTTTTTCTTTTGCCATCAGTGGTTGTTTTTGTTTTTGTTTTCTCCTTTGGAACATTGAGGGGTACTTCTTGGGAGACCCCAAAGGGACAGAAAAAACTAACATACCAAATGTTTAAAATCAGTGATGATCAAAGAAATGCACGGTAAAACCACGATGCTAGATGGTTGTTCCTTCTGTCCTTAGCAGACACTACAGTACTGGGCGTTGTTGTGGAGTTGTGGAGTGGTAACAATGTGGGGACATTGAGACTCATGAATGACTGGCTCCATCACTTGGACAGCAGTCTGTCATCACGTGCATTGTACTCTCAAATGCAGCAATTCTGCTCCTGGATATTTGTCTCCATGTATCTTTGGACAGTTCTGGCTAGATGTCTTCCAAGATCCATGTTGCAAAGCAATTCTCAGGCCAATAATGGGACTTTAAGAGGAAGTTCACCACAGTATTATTAGTGATTATGAGCGGGACACCACCCAGTTGTCCACCTAGGATGTCTGTACCAGGCAGGAGCTAAAAACAGCAGATTATCTGTATACAGAGCAACGTGGGTGATCTCAGGTGATGAGTACTTACTGAAAAGAGTAGAAAAAAAACCCAATGCCATTTGTATAAATGTAAAATGCATAAACAAAATTAAGCGCAATTTGCTATAACAGTTCACAATAAAAATACATTTCAATATATTGCTATCGTTGTTGTGTACCGTAGAGTCGGAACTGACCCATAGCTGACCCTCCAGCACATATTCACAGACAGTTAATTGCATGGGAGGAGATTGTCCATCCTTCTCCCACAGAGCAGCTCGAACCACATGCCTTCAGGATTGCATTACAGTGATTTTTGAACAAGAGGAAGTGGGGAGAAGAAAGGTCTATAAAAGGCAATACATATATAAAACAAGAAAAACTGCAGTGACCTAAGACGAGCAGCGATTCGCTCAGTATGTGCCTGAGATGCAGAAGAATAACCAAGAAAAGCTGTAAGCACTGTTATCGTTGTGGTCAGGCACCTTCAGGGTGCTTCCAGCTCGTAGGGACGCAGTGCACAGCAGTAGGAAACAGTTGCTTCTGCACCACCCTCGCCACCCCTTGTTATGTCTGAGTGCACTGGTGCAGTCCCCAGGTCACTCCATCTCTCTGCGGGTCATCCTCCTTTTTTTTGCTGACTTTCCCACACATGAAATCCTTCTCAAAGGTCTGGTCTCTTCTGATGACATGCCCAGAGTACAGGAGAGAACATCTTGCCATCCTTATGTCTGTAGAGTATTCTGGCTGGCTGGACTTCTTCCAAAAACACTAGTATTTGTACCTCCTTCTGCTCACCCATGGTATATTAGCTACACTTTTCCATCCCCTCTGAATTAAAATGTGTCAGTTCTTTTTCTGTTTTTCATTGTCTAGCTTTTGCATTCATGTGAACAATTTAAAATACTGTGCATATGTGCACGCATCTGGCACACCTTGTTATTATCGCTAGGTGCCATCGAGTCAGGTATGACTCATAGCAACTCTGTGAAAACCAGATATGAACCCTTTCCTGTGTCATCCTCATAATTTCTGACATACTCAAACAACACACGTTGTTGTTGTTGTTGTTGTGTGCTGTAGAGTCAGAACTGACCCATAGCTGACCCTCCAGCAGGTTTTCAGAGGCAGTAAATCACACAGGAGTTGATTGCCAAACTTTATCTCACAGAGAAGCTGCTGGATCCACACTGCAGATCCTTGCACTGGCAGTGCAGTTCCTTACCACTAGGCCACCAGAGCTCCCTTCAAGCACACCTTGTTGTTGTGTGCCATCAAGTCAGAACCGACCCAAAGCTCACCCTCTAGCAAATTTTCAGAAGCAGTTAATCGCACAGGAGAGACTGCCCATCTTTTGCAGAGCATCTGGTGGTTTCAAACCATATGCCTTTCTGATTGCAACACAGCTTCTTATCACTTGGCCACCAGAACGTCCCTTATTGTTGTTGTGTGCTGTCAAGTCTGAACCTACTCATAGCTTAGGCTCCAGCAGATTTTCAGACAGTTTAATCACATGGGAGGTTGCCCATCCTTCTCCCATGGAGCAGCTGATGGATTTTGTTGTTGTTGTTGTTGTTTTGTGCCTTCGAGTCACCTGTGACTCGTAGTGGCCCTATGTACAACAGCTCAAAAGCCTGCCCTCTCCTGAGCCGGTCTCACTGACTCGACACACTTACCCCCATTTACCCCAGTTACTATATCAATCCATCTCATCCGAGATCCTTCTCTCCTGAACCATCCCTCCACCCTTCCAAGCATGATGTCCTTCTCCAAGAACCGGTCCTTCTTAGCCATATGCCCAAAGTCTATGAGACAGAGCTTCAAAATCCTAGCTTTCTAGGAGAAATTTGGTTTTACCCCTCTCCAAGATAGACTTACTAGTTTTCTTGGTGGTCTATGGTATGTTCAAGACTCCTTTCCAGTACCACAACTCAAAGGCATCAATTCTTCTTGTGGCTTTTAGGGGAAGGTAAAAAGAATCCATTCTGTCCTAGTGTTGCGACATTGCCAGGCTCTGTTAGTTGTTCAGGACCTTGGAGAGCCACCCCAGGCCCCAGCATCTTTGTGCTGTACTGATGCTCCTCCCATTTCCTCTTTTCTCTTTCTTGTGACTCTCTTCTATTTTTTTTTTTCAGTGTCTTCTGTGCTCCTTCTTCCCCAACTCCCCTACTCACCTTCCCTCCTTTTTCTTCCTGCTAGAGCCTCAACCCCCTGTTTTCTGCACTCCAACCGGGTCCCTGCTTGTTCCCCTGACTTACCTTCCCCTCGACCCCAGTCCTACTCCACTGCTCCCTTCCTCACCTCCTACCCTGGTCTCCTCTGCACCCCCATCTCTCCCAAGCCCTGCCCTGCTCCATGTCCACGGCACCCTGAACTAACTGATGTTAACCCTCTTCTCTCTTCCTCACGGCTGGCAGGCCTGCAGGTTTGAGCTCTGTTTCTCTGTCACTTCCCACCTCATCTCCTCTCTGCTTCACCTCATTGCCTTCCTCCATGCCTCCCACACCCCACCACCACCCCTTCCGTCCTGTGGGGCCAGGGCCAGGCCGTGGCCCAGCCTTCGCAGACTGAATGCAGCCGCCCTCTCCCCATCCTCGCTCCCCCGCCTGGGGGAAGGGGAGCGAGAGTAGGAAGAGGAGGAGGAGGAGGCAGCCCAGGGTAAGTGACTGCTCTGTGGCCTTGACCATGGAGAACAGAACCCAGCAGGGCAGTCTGCCAAGGGGGAAAGGGAACCCCAGAAGACCTGGTGCCTGAAAGAGGAGATTGGGTGGGGCCACTTGAAAGATTTTCTGAGCTTCCCAAAAGACAAGAAAAGACGCCCTAGCAGAGCCAGACAGGGGTTGATAAAACTAGTTCTGTCCACTCCCAACCCCGGTCTAGAGCCTTCTATATCTATAAGGTCCCTCTCTGCTTCTGAGGTGTAGGTGTGGGACTCTGGGAAGCAGCAGAGAGGAAAGGAGACAACAGCTCCTTGTAGTTCAAACACAGGACTTGCTGTCCTTCCTCCGTCATTCCCCACTTAACCAATACCGAGGGGCAGGCCCGATGGACCTGGCTTCCACCACTTCCCCCCAGGGTTGACCCCCCCAGGATTTCCAGCTCCCCAAAACCTTCTTCTTACTTGATCTCTCCCTAATACAAGAATTTTTTTAAATAATCTCATGGAACTTATTGAATGCCACTGTTGTCACTTTACAAATTCATTTTGTAATTCCCACAGTAACCTATGTGGTAGGTACTATAATTGTCCTCATACTACAAATTGGGGAATGAAGGTTAAATAACTTGTAGTGGTCACTCCTTTCCTTAGTAAGGGGCAGTGGTGTACCCCCAGCTTAGAAATGACTGTGAGACCATCCCAGTCAAAGCAAGTCCCAATGTCCACTGGGACCTTGTCCATTACATACAGCGGTTGGGAGGGTTTGCCATGAGCACCCAATGGGAGGCCCAGCTTGTAAGGTGTTCCCCTAGGCTAAACCTGACCTGATGTGCTCAACAGGGTCTGTAATAGTGAAGTCCCCCCTGAACCGGGAGCTGGTTGCCACCTATGAGGTCACCCTCTCAGTGATTGACAACGCCAGCGACCTACCGGAGCGTGCTGTCAGTGTGCCAAATGGTGAGTTTCCCCAGCACACATCTCCCATTGGTTACTCAGAGCAAATCAGGGCAGAGGTGTGCCAGAAGCAGGCACTTGCTAAGCCACTGAAAGGAGCATCAGGCACAGGGCTGCCAGCAGTCAGGCAGCACAAGGAGCATGGTGGGCTGGCAAGTTACAGCGAGGCTGAGGGCCTGTCCCAGTTAGGAGAGGTCAGCATCAGGGATCCAGGAGCCTAGGACTGTGGTCTCAAGCCTCTGGCTCAGAAGTGAGATGGAGGCTTGGTAAAACCTGGAAGGGGATTGAGCAAAGGGTCTGTCAACAAACACAGCCTGGGATGCAATTACCATAACTGGTAGATAAGGCAAACCTGAGGTGCAAGACTGGAACCCCATAACCTGACAGGAAATACGAAGTCAGGCCCAGAGGATGGAAAGAGCAAGGAAAGGTGGCCTGAGGCCCCAGACACAGCATATGAGGATGGGGAGCGGGGTGGTGTGTTTGTATGTCTGTGTGCAGGTTCCATGGTGAAGCAAAGACGGGACCCGCTCTGCTGTCTGTGGGAAGAGGCCACTCTGAGGCACAAGCCAGAATGGGAAGCAAGGGGGGCTTCCTAGTCAGGCAAGAGTGGAGGTGGGGATGGGGTGGCCTCCAGTGACTCCAGCCATGTGGTAAGGCCAGCTGCTGGGGTGAGGATCCAGCCCGGCCAATAGTGACGTCACAACCAGAGGCCCGAGTCTCTAAGAAGGAAGGACATATGTTGTCACCCTCTGTGTCCCAGGCTCCAGAGGGCAAAGGACGCAGGCTGGTTATATAGAGAGTGACTCGGGTGGGAAACAGGCTGAATCATGGGCAGGGTCTTCATGACCACCCAGCTCTGTGTCATTGCGCAGGGTAGGAGACTGAGGCCCAGTGAGGGTCAGGGGCTCCACTGAGGTCATTCAGCATGTTGGTAGAACCCATCCCCTGCCCATGGTAGAAGAGTGAGTGGAGGAGTCTCATGCCATGACCTGACAGATGGGCCAAGTTGCAAGGAGTTCCAGGAGGGATGTGAGATTTGCTGGATTTGACGTCCTCTCCAATGTGAGATTGGTAGAGCTTAGCAAGGCCTGAGCCAGCCACCCTGGACCCTCCTCACCTTGACCTCCCATGCTCCATCCCAGCCAAGCTGACGGTCAACATCCTAGACGTCAATGACAATACACCGCAGTTCAAGCCCTTTGGGATCACCTACTACACAGAGCGGGTCCTGGAGGGGGCCACGCCGGGCACCACACTCATCGCTGTGGCTGCTGTGGATCCCGACAAGGGCCTCAATGGACTGATCACCTACACCCTGCTGGATGTCGTCCCTCCAGGCTATGTCCAGCTGGAAGACTCCTCCACAGGTGCGTCACAAAGGTTTGGCGAGTTGTGTCTGTGCCTGCTTCTTACTCTCTAGTTGAGGCCAACCTGGCTCTTCAGTGGCCTGGGCCAGATCCAAGATGGCCAGTACTGCATGCTCTCCTTGATGTCTACAGGAGAGGACAGTGCATCTCATCTGGGTGAGGATAGAAACCCCCCATGGCATCTGCTGGGAACCTGGACTATTCCACCACCACCTTCACCACTCTAGCCTCCCACTATTAGCGTCATTCAGGGAGCCAGGAGGGTCACCCCAGAGGTTCCAGACAAGCCTTCTTCCTCCCATCCCCCATAAGGAAAACCACTAGACACCAGTCCCTCCCAGCCCTGGCCTGCCACTCTTCTTCAGAGGCCCACTCCTGCCCCTCAGAACTCTAGATCCTCCTTTTATGCTATGGAGAGCTGCCCACGAGTGCAGTGACTGAAATGTGATTGGGCGCCTCTGTGTCTCAGGAAAGGTCATTGCCAACCGGACAGTGGACTATGAGGAGCTGCATTGGCTCAACTTCACCGTGAGGGCCTCAGACAACGGGTCCCCTCCGCGGGCTGCCGAGATCCCCGTCTACCTGGAGATCGTGGACATCAACGATAACAACCCCATCTTTGACCATATCTCCTACCAGGTGGGCTCCAGGCCCACAGGCTGGGAACAGGACATGCACCCCTTTCTTAGGACCCTTGGCTGACTTCTAGAACTGCCCTCCCTGACAACCTCTGTGTCCCTGGGAGTGACAGTCCCACAGAGAGCTTAAGCCCCCTGGTCCCTTCATCGGTGAGCTCCCAGGACAAAGGCAGTGACTCATCTTGGCCTTCTCTCTCTCCCTGCCCGCTGGACACTAGGAAGCCATCTTTGAGGATGTGCCTGTGGGCACTGTCATCCTGACAGTCTCTGCTACAGACGCCGACTCTGGCAACTTTGCCCTCATCGAGTACAGCCTCGTGGATGGAGAGGGCAAGTTCGCCATCAACCCCACCTCGGTAAATGGGGCTGAAAGGTCCATGTATGTGATTGTGAAGGGTCCAGGGTCCAGACTGAAAAGCCACCAAAGGTCACTGCAGCCGTCCCCCCGTTTCTGAGCCCTGCCATCTAGAAGTCTTGAGCCTCAGGGGTTCTTCATCCACGTCAGGAACCCCTGCTCTCAGCGTCCCACACGTCTGCTCACTGAGGCCTTTCCATCCCTGCAGACATGGGAGGAAGTGGCTGGCCAGAGTCGTTTCAAACTAGCCTAGAGGGCTTAGTGGGCACAAAGAATTCTAAGTGTCCCCACCAAACAAACAAACAAAAATTCTTTTTAAGCCTTTCAAAGATGAGGCATGGAAAGCTATGTAGAAAGTGGGCCAGTTTGAACATCTGCTGTACGAATAACCATATACTCAGTGCTGGGTAGGGAGGAAGCCGGAGAAGGTAACACCTATGCTTCTCTGATTGCTGGACCTGTTGTTGTTATGTGCCGTTGAGTTGCTTGTACATAGCGACCCTATGTACAAGACCTCTAAACGCCATCTGTCCTGTGCCAACCTCGCCAACTCAGACACACTCATTCCCACCACTCCACTCACAGAATCGATCCATCTCATCGAGGGTCTTCCTCTCCTGTGACATCCCTCCACTCTGCCAAACATGATGTCCCTCTCCAAGGACCAGTACCTCCTTGCAACATGCCCAAAGCATGTCAGACGAAGCTTCAGAATCCTTGCCTCCAAGGAGCATTCCAGCTTCACCCTCTCCAGGACAAACCTGTTTGTTCTCCTAGCAGACTTGTAGGAGAGTAAATACTCAGGAGAAAAGATGAAGAAGATTTCTAGTGTATACCCTTACTGTTTTGTTGCTGTTGGATGCTGTTAAATCGACTGAGACTCATAGCAACCCTATGAACAATAGCTCTGAGGGATGCCCTATCCTGTGCCATCCTCACCATCTCTGACATGCGCAAGGCCATTGCTACAGTCATGGCCAGTCCATCTCATTGAGGGTCTTTCTTTTTCCAATCTTCTACTTTCTCCATCATGATGCCTTTTTCCAAAGACTAGTCCTTCCATAGTCATGCCCAGGGTATATGAGACAAAGTTTCGCCATCCTTGTCTTTAAGGAGCACCTTGGTCGCTCTTCCTCCAAAACAGATTTTTATTATTATTATTATTTTTGTGTGAGTGTACCGTCAAATCAGATCTCACTGATACAGGAGGAGATTGTCCCTCCTTCCCCGGCAGAGCATCTGGTGGATTCGAACCGTGCGCCTCTGGGATTGTAGTTGCAGCTCCTTGCCACTAGGCCACCAGAGCTCCCCTCTTGACAGATTTTTTGTTTTGGCTTTTTCAGTACTTGTGTCCAACAACTCAAAGGCCTCCATTTTTCTTCTGTCATGCTTGTTCACTGTCCATCTTACACAAGCATAGCAAGCATTTGAAAAGATTAGGATCTCTTGTTATTGTTGTATACAGTTGAGTCAGAACTGACTCCCAGTGGCCTCCAGTGGGTTTTCAGAGGCAGAGAATCACATGGGAGGAGATAATTCATCTTTATCATATGGAGCAACTGGTAGATCTGAACCAGGAGCCTTTGGGTTGTTGTTGTATTGTGCTATCAAGTAGCCTGTGACTCATAGCAACTCTGTGTGCAACAGCTCTGAACCCTTCTCTATCCTGATCCAGTTCACTGACTCTGACACACCAACCCAATTGCCCCAGTTACTGTATCAATCCATCTAATCCGGGGTCTCCCTCTCCTGCGCTGTCCCTCCACCCTTCTGAGCATGATAGCCTTCTCCAAAGACTGGTTCTTCCTGGCCACGTGCCCAAAGTAAGTGAAACAGAGCTTAAAAAAAAATTAAAAAATCAGAGCTTCAAAATCCTTTCCTCCGAGGTGAAACTTGGTTTCACCCTCTGCAAGACAGACCTATTTGTTTTCCTGGCAGTCATAGTATGTTCAGTGCTCTTCTCCAGCACCATAATTCAAAGCCATCAATTCTTCTGTCAGTCTTCATCCAGTTGTCTGATGGATAGCATGTAATTGTGAAGACCATGATCTGGATCAGGCACACCTAAGTCTCTAAATTGACCTCATTGCTCCTCAGCACTCTAGAGCGACCCCTGACATCAGACTTCCCCAATGCAATTCATTTAAATTTCTGGCTGCTGGTGTCAAGATTTGATTGTGGAGCTGAACAAGCTGAAATTGTTAACAACTTCAGTCTCTTCTCCATCTATCGTAGAGCTGCCACTTGGTCCAGTGGTGAGAATTTTTGTCTTCTTGATGTTATGCTTCAATCAATATTGAAGGCTGCAGTCCTTGGTCTTCTGCAGCCAATGCTTCAGGTCCTCCTTTGTTTCTGCAAGCAAGGTTGTATCATCTGCATAATGCAGGTTGTTGAAGAGTCTTCCTCCAATCCTGATACCACACTCCTCCTCATAAAGTCTAGCTTCTCAAATGATCTACATATAGATTGAAAAGGTGTGGTGATAGAACACATCCCTGATGCACTCATTTCCTAATTATGAACCATGCAGTATTTCCTTGCTCTGTTCTGACAACTGCCTTCTGGTCCAAGTATAGGTTTTGCATGAGCACAATTAAGTGTTCTGGGATTCCCGTTCGTCTCAAGGTTAGCCACAGTTTGTTATGATCTACACAGTCAAATGCTTTTGCATAGTGAATGAAACACAGATAAACTTTCCTCTGGTACTTGTTGCTTTCAGTCAAAATCCATTTGACATTGACAATAATGAATAGCACTGGTGATAATAATTACATTGACCACAGCCACTTCTAAACCCAGCTTGTATTTCTGATAGTTCTCTATCAGTGTACTGTTGCAGTCATTTTGGGAAAAACTTCAGCAGGCTTTAGATTGTGTGGGATATTAGAGATATTGTTTGATAATTTACACACTCTGTCAGGATAATTTGCACTCTGTCAGGTCACCTTTTTTTTTGGATAGGAATAAATACGGTTATCTTCCAGTCAGTTGGTCAGGTCTTCCAGATTTCTTGGCACAGTCTGGTGAGCACATGCAGGACAGCATCTCTTTGTTGAAATATGTCAGTTGGTTCTGGGGCTTAGTTGTTTTTGTTTTTTGTTTTGTTTTGTTTTTTCCTGTCAAGTCCTTCAGAGTAGCCTGAGCTTCCTCCTTTGTCACGACTGGCTCTTGATCATATGCTGATTCATGCAGTTCTTCTGTGTCAGCCAATTCCTTTTGGTACAATGACTCTGTATACTCCTTCCATCTTCTTTTAATGCTTCCTGGATCATGTAATATTCTGTCCATAGCATCCTTAAGAATTGCAACTCAAGGCTTGAATTTGTTCTTAATGAATGCTGAGAAAGTTCGGCCCTTTTGATTTTCTAACACCAGCTCTTTGCACATATCATTGTAATACTTCTCTTTCTCTTCCTGTGCTACCTTTTGAAATCTTCTGCTCAGCTCCTTAACTTCTTGAACTCTTCCCTTTGCTTGGCTTCTCGGCATTCTAGTGCAATATTCAGAGTCTTTCTGACATCAACAAACACAGCTCCTTACTAGTAGGTTAAAATTTCTAGCAGGGGAAGGAAATTATGCAACATGAATTTTTTTTAAGTGACCTGCAAAGGCTAGGGAGGAAAATGTGCAGCAATGAATGAATGAAAATCCCAACTTTTCTCCAAACTTTTGTTAAAAATCACAATTTGAAAAAAAAGAAAATTTCTGTCTGCGGTCTTGGGGAAGATGACTGTTCAGGTCCTTCCCAACTTGTTGGGGCTAGAACTAGACTTTCTCTCCCACCGTCCCTTTCTGTCCACATCCCACTCTATTCTCCCTTTCTGCCGAGTTCAGTCCTTCTTGCTGGGTGTAAGCAACTGGGCATAGTTCCTGGCCTGACACCAAGAACAAGGAATATTTATTAAGTACCTGTTGTATGCAAGGCTCGATCCTGGTAGTGAGTGCCAGGCTGGATTGTCATGCCATACCAAGGTAGAATGGCATAGTGAGGGCAAGAAAACCCATGAGAATATCAACTTCTTGGGGGCAGGGCTTGTCTTTCTGTTCACCTTGTATCTCTAAAGACTAGAACGGTGCCTGACACCAGGGGCTGCTCATTGCATATCTGTAGAATGAATGAAGGTCCTGGAGCCATCTTTCTCCACTAGGGTGACATCTATGTGCTGTCCTCGCTGGACCGGGAGAGGAAGGACCACTATATCTTGACTGCCTTGGCCAAAGACAACCCTGGAGATGTGGCCAGCAACCGGCGAGAAAACTCAGTGCAGGTAAGGAAGCGAAGGCTTTGGACATGACCGAGAGCCAAGTCACCAGGCCTCTCGGAGAAGTAGTGGCTGGAAGGAGGCCAGAGGTTAGTTAGCTGAGTGGGCTCCAATGGCTGTGGCTTAAGGAACCAGGGGCTCTCTGGGAGAGACTCCGTGCCACAAGCTTGAGGTATGACCTGGTATAACCCAAGAGAGAGCCTGGGGCCCTACACGGCTCAAGGTCTCCATAGTGTTATATCGGGAGAAACACAGAGCAGTACTCACATCATTATAATATGATTCCCTTTATTTCTGTCTCTTAATGAAGCCCCATTCTCATGCCAGTTCCACGCAGTTGCTGAGACTAGCACGTCACCTCCTAAGCTCTCTGTCCCCATTTTTATCCAGAATCCTAAACCTTGAGGCTTTGTTTTTTTTCTTGTTTCTCCTCACCTCCCCTTTCTCCTCCTCCAGTCTTTCTGAGCATATGCATCAGTTCTCTCACACAGTAACCTGATCACTCAGAATACAAACGCTCTCCTGAAGGAGGGAGAAGGGGGTTGCTGAGTGGACAAAGACAAGTCTTTCTAGCAGAATTCTCCATCTCTAGCAGGTAGAAGGAAAGATCCCAGTGATATATTACAGGGACAGTGACATTTGACCAGTGAAATATTACAGGGACAGTGACATTTGAATCTCGTTCCCATCACATATGCACCTGCCTTGTGGTAGGAGGTACAGGATTTGGAATCAGAAGTCTAAGATCCCACTTCATTTGTCATTGAACCTCTCTGACCCTCAGTTGCCAAATGTATAAAGGGGGCACCATTGATGAGGCAGTCTCCTAAGGTGGTGAGGCGTGAGGAAGATGGGGCTGTGAATGTTGCTTGTGTACTAAAAGGGGTTCTAAAAAGTGCTGCTCTGCAGAGTTGTGGCCAGGGAGGAGCTTAGCAGTCAGGAAAAATAGGACTAACCATCTGATGTTTCCCCGGGACCCAGCACAGGCTGTGGGGTCATATGTAAGTCCAAGTCAGGAGCCAACCTTAGGGAGTGGAGGAATCACAGCGGATCAGCATTCAGGGCTAGACAAGTTGTTGCTGTTGTTATGTGCTGCCGAGTCCTCTGTGACTCACAGCGACCTTATGGACAACTGCTCTGACCTCATCCTTTCCTGAGCCAGCCTTACCTTCTCCATTGCACTTGACCCTATCGCTACAGTCACCATGTCAGTCCATCTATTGCACTGACCCTCCACCCTTCCAAGCATGATGTCCTTCTCCAAGGACTGACCCCTCCCAACAATGCCCAAAGTATGTGAGATTGAGTTTTACCACCCTTGCCTCCAGGGAGTATGCTGGTTTCCCTTTCTCCAGGACCAACCTATTCTCTTGGCCATTCCATGGGATATTCAGTACTCTTCTCCAGCACTGCCACTCAAAGGCATAGATTTATAAGGGTATTCTTTGTTGGGAGGAGAAAAAAAGACAAAAATAGAGGGAGCAAGGGACCCAACACAGTTTACCTGCGAGCCACCAGCTGTCAAGTACAGCTGGGCACTGTGAAGGATCCAACCTACATAACTATGAGGGGGCCTCACTAGGACCCTGAAAAATAAGGCCCTGCTGCCTCCCCACACACACAGCAAGGGAACTGAGGCATAGCAGGGGCAAAGTGCCTTGGTTCTCAGCCTCCAGTGGGCACCCAGCCATCCTTCACTCTGGCCTCCTCCTGTGTGACAAGGTCCCCAGATGTAACACACTCATGACCTCCACCTGCCCTGTAGGTGGTGATCCAGGTGCTGGACGTCAATGACTGCCGACCACAGTTCTCCAAGCCCCAGTTCAGCACAAGCGTGTATGAGAACGAGCCAGCGGGCACCTCGGTCATCACCATGATGGCCACCGACCAGGATGAGGGCTCCAATGCAGAACTGGCCTACTCCCTGGAAGGCCCTGGTGCAGGTAGCCTGTCCTGTACATCAGTGGTACCCTGTGGGATGGGGAGGGTCAGGCTGCATAGCCTGCAGCCCGACACCCACAAAGGGAGGGTTGGGAAGGAGTAGCGGAGCCACGCCCCATGCACTTGCCTCCCTGCCCCACCTGCCAGAGGCCTTCTATGTGGACATGGAGTCAGGCCTGGTGACCACCAAGCGGCCCCTGCAGTCCTACGAGAGGTTCAACCTGACCGTGGTAGCCACAGATGGTGGGGAGCCTCCCCTCTGGGGCACCACCATGCTCCTGGTGGAGGTGATTGACGTCAATGACAACCGCCCGGTCTTCGTGCGCCCACCCAACGGTACCATCCTACACATCAAAGAGGTATTGCCACACCTCAGGCCGGAGACTCCTCCCACCAGCATCTCCCTTCCAATATCCAGTCCGGTGGTGGCCTGGGAGGCTGGAAAGGGTCCTGCTGTGAGGGTGGGGAAACTGAGGCCAAAGGAGGGATCAGACATGCCCAGCACCAGCAGGACAGTATAGAGAAGTGGTTAGTAGCACAGGCTGTGCTGGCAAAGCTCTGCTCTGAGTCCAGGTCTATCACTTACCAGCCAAATGACCTCAAGCAAGTTGCTTCTCGAAATCTATTTTTTCCTCTGCAAAGTGGAAATGATGATCATAGATGCCCTGTCTCTTGCTCTCAGATGACTGCTAAGGACAGTCTCCCAGTCACCCACTTCCTCCATATGAGGCCCAAAATAAACACCCATGCCCTTCTGTCTGCCTGCTTTTCCTGCTGGTACGTGTGTGGAGACAGCCCGGGGAACTGAGGATGGGTACCGGAATAAGAAACAGGAGGAAGTGGCTGAGGTTCCAGAATCTCTCCGACTCTCCTCTCATCCCTTGGTCTCCACTGCCATGGAAAGATGGAGGAAGGATGCTTTTGTTTCCTGCCCTCCCCTTCTTCTAGTTCAAGCTCCAAATGCTTCTTTTGTCTAAATACATTGTTTTGCATGAAAGTTTACAAATCATATAGGGTTTTTATTCAAACAGTTATACACAGTTAATTTTAGTAATAAATTACAGTGTAATTTATTACATCAACCCCTTATTGTATATTATCTTTCCCTTCATCTAACATCTATTTATTAATATTTACTCCCCTCTCCCTCCCTTCCCATCTCTGGTAGCCATCCAGGAACTATCCTATCTGTGGGCAAACATTTGCTTAGCTTTTTATAATTGTGGACCTGTTTGTGATGTAATTATTCTTTTGAGACTGAATGACTATGTCACTCAGCACAATTTCCTCTTGATTCGTTGTGTTGTGCAGTGTTTCACATTCTTTAGTGTTTTCTAATCCTCCATCTTGTGAATGAATGCACCGTTGTTCCTTTATCCATTTCGTCTGCTGATGGACACCTGGGTTATTTCTATCACTTTGCTGTTGTGAATACTGCTGCAGTGAATATGTGTGTTCATATCTGTTTGTGTTGCAGCTCTTATTTCTTTGATTGTCTCCCACACATTTATTGCCCGCAGATCTTTGCATCTCAGAATGTTAGTACTTGTCCCTCTCTGGCCCCCTTTGAGTTCATGTGGGAAAAATTTCTCCCAGAGCTGAGCTTTAGGAAATACCTTGTGATTTGCTCTTACCTTGGCTCTACTGTCATATCTACAGTGAATGAGTATCCCTCTTTGCTTTGCCTGCTAGGGAGCTCAGAGAGGCCAACTGCCCTGAATGGCCCTGAAGGGACTTGAGGCACACAATTTACCTTCCACTGCTCAGCTTCCACTTTCCTGTTTACTCTTCTTCTTTTTTTTTCTTTACCTTGAATTTTTACCATATTCAATCTTTCTATAATTTATTCCTTCCTGTACGCTGTTTCGGATCCTATTTGTGAGACAGGTTATAAATTAATAATAATCTAGTTCTTTTCCACTCCAAAGGCTCTGTCTACTAAGGTTTTTCCCTTCAAAGTCCTCATGTTTGGAAAGATTTATGTCTTTCAAGCAACTAGAATTTGTTAAGTAATTATCTATTTGTCATTCTGTTTTTTATTAATTAGAGTAACTTCCATGTGGAGCTTCTGATTGCCACAGCCAGTGAGATGAGCAATGAGACTGCTTGAGCTGATTATTTGTCAACTAAAAACAAAGACACTCTCTCTCTCCCAGGAATCTTATCATAGGCCCATGTTTGATTTCTGTTAGGGTTACTTATATCTTAGACTTAAAGGAATCCAGAAGAGACTGTGAGAGTCTCTGCATGGCTTGGTGGCACACTTGGTGGCTTAGTTATAGACTAGAATCCAAGCATGTAGTCTTCTACCAAGTCACCCTGTCTGTGGGTCCCCCCATTTCGGCCACCGCCTAGGATGGGTGATGTCATACGGAAATACCCAAAGTGGCTGTGACCGGCAAGACAGACAGAGGAACAAAGGCAGTTGTGGTGTCAGCTCTTGGGCTGCCCCTCTGTTCACTCAACCTCAGCATGCTGCAGAGGGACAGGATGGGGTCAGCTGCAGGAAGGTAATCAACTCAAAGCAAGCTGGGCCCAGGCAGGCTTTGGGTTGGAGTGCTGGAAACAGATGCTCAGATCCAGAGAGTGTCCAGTCAGGCAGTCTGCACGACTTGAACTTGCTGGAAGGGCGTATCATCTACACAGAAGGAGCACACGCTCCGTCAGGGGCTGGGAGCCGAAATCCCCAATCCTCCAGGAGCCTCGCTTCCTCCCTCCTACTCCATCCTCATCCTGCAGGAGATCCCGCTCCGATCCAACGTGTACGAGGTCTACGCCACCGACAAGGACGAGGGCCTCAACGGGGCGGTGCGCTACAGCTTTCTGAAGACGGCTGGCAATCGGGACTGGGAATACTTCACCATTGACCCTATCAGTGGCCTCATCCAGACCGCGCAGCGTCTGGACCGTGAGAAGCAGGCGGTGTATAGCGTAAGGGGCGGGGCCTGGAGGCGGGGCTTTTCCTGCTGTGGGTGGGGCCTTGGGAGGACTGGCGAGGGGCGGGACTTCCTATCTGTTCAGCCCACTTGGGGGAGGGACCCTGGACGAGACTTCCCTTGCTGGGGAGGGGCTTTCCTCCTTGGATGGGGGATGGGACTCTGGGGGCGGGACTTCCCTTGTTGGGGCGGGGCCTGGACCCTGGGGGCGGAACTTCCCCTGTTGGGGCGGGGCTCCACCAACTCTCAGCAAGAATGTCACTGGGGTCTGACTGCCTGCTTGAGGCCCTAAGCCAACAACAACTTTCCCACGTATCCCCTTCACGCCACCTTCCCTGTCCAACTACCCTCCTCTCACCCCAGCTCATCCTGGTGGCCAGCGACCTGGGCCAGCCGGTGCCCTATGAGACCATGCAGCCGCTGCAGGTCGCTCTGGAGGACATCGACGACAATGAGCCCCTCTTCGTGAGGCCCCCCGTAAGCTGCCTATCCCCTGTGCCAGTCATGTCCCCCTGGGACTTGCAGATGACCAGCACGTGTGTCCATCTACACGCACAGCGCTGGTTCATACACGTGGTTACATACACAGCCTATGGGTGCATTGTATAGCGGACCTTTCAGAAGAGGAAAGCCAGGGGACCTTGGCTCCTGGAGCTGAAAGTCTTGAATTTACACCCAAACGTGCACACAAGAGAAGGGAACATCAGCTCAGCTTTATTGAGCTGGGGCTGGAGGAAAGTCAGGCAGCAGGGCTGTGGGCCTCTTGGGACGAGACTCTGGCTCACTGGTTTTTCTTCCTGTGTACACCTGTGATGTCATGTTCCTGGGTGACGGTGTGAGTCTCACTGCACAGACTGAGCACCCACCACTCTGCCCAGCGCTGGTCTAGGTGCTGGGGATGTCTGAAGGCTCGCCAAGCTCAGTCCTATACATTGTGGAGCATGTCACCAGACGACACTCCCCATGGACAGAGCTGGCTTCTCCCAGCTTTTGCTTACCTGGAGTCATAGCAGCTCTGCTTTCCCCTGCGGCTTAGGCGATGAACCCCTTTGGCACCCACACAGAGGCACTAACCAGGACCCTTGGGCACAAGGTGGGAGCGCATCCCTCCCTCCTGTGACGGCAGCTCCCTTCACCCTGCAGAAAGGCAGCCCCCAGTACCAGCTGCTGACGGTGCCTGAGCACTCACCACGCGGCACCCTTGTGGGCAACGTGACGGGCGCCGTGGACGCAGACGAGGGCTCCAATGCCATCGTGTACTACTTCATCGCAGGTGGGCCCCACTGGGGCTGATGCCAACCCAATCTGGGGTTGGTGAAGGCCTGCATGGGGCCTGGCACTGACCCTGTGCCCTGGTCCCACCCCCAGCTGGCAACGAAGAGAAGAACTTCCATCTGCAGCCCGACGGGCGTCTGCTGGTGCTTCGGGACCTGGACCGGGAGCGGGAGGCTCTCTTCTCCTTCATCGTCAAGGCCTCAAGCAATCGCAGCTGGACTCCTCCCCGTGGGCCCTCCCCAGCCCTCGACCTGCTTGTTGACCTCACCCTGCAGGAGGTGCGGGTCGTGTTGGAAGACATCAATGACCAGCCACCAAGGTTCACCAAGGCCGAGTACACAGCAGGTGCAGGGGCTGGAGCCTTGGCATGGAGCATGCAGGGGGCAGCTTCTGGTGCACCACTTATACCCACTTGCCTGTTCTTGCAGGAGTGGCCACTGATGCCAAGATGGGCTCAGAGTTGATCCAGGTTCTGGCCTTGGATGCAGACATTGGCAACAACAGTCTGGTCTTCTACAGCATCCTAGCCATCCACTACTTCCGGGCCCTTGCCAATGACTCAGAGGATGTGGGCCAGGTCTTCACCATGGGTAGGGACCTGGTCACGCATGGTGACCTCTAGCTAGGAGCTCAGTCACTGCATGCACTATATAGTCCAGAGGTTATGGGGTCTGGATGGTAGGTAGTGTCTGTCCATTCAGTCAGCCAAGCTAGCCTTCCATTAATCTATCTGGCCATCCAGCTAACCATTTCTTTATCCCGCTGGCATCCTTCCATCTATTACTCAATGAGCTAGTCATTGTTATCTTGTGTTCCCTAATGTATCTGTCCCTCTATCCCTGCTTCTGTCCACTCACCTTTCTTTTCTTTCTTCCTCCTTTCCATCCCCTTATCCATTTATCCATCCTTCCATCTGGCCATCCTTCATTATTTTATAACCCATTTCATCTGTCGACCCATTTATCTGCCCATCTTTCTAGCATTCTTTCCGTATCTTCTGTCCTTCCACACGTGTGTGCCTCACCCTCCTCAGTAACCAGCATTATGCTGTGTCCTTTTTATTGTTAGAGGTCAGATCAGCTCTGTCTACGCAGCACTTACCTGGGACACTGTCTGATCCTGCACCACTCTTCCAAGCACAGCTGTACTTAATCCCATTGTGCTGCAACAGTTCATCTCACTGAGAATCTCCCTCTTCTCTACTTTACCAAGCACGATGTCTTTGTCCAGGGGCTGAGCTTTCCCGATGTTGCTGTCGTGTCCACTCTGACTCATAGTAGCCCTGTGCACAACAGTTTGGAATTTTGCCCCATCCTGTGCCATCTTCACCATCTCTCTGGTGCTTTAACCCCACTGTAGCAGGCGCTGTGTCAATGCATCTCATTTACCACTACAGGTAATGGGCCCCAAGTACGTGAGATGAAGTCTCACCAACATCATTTCTAAGAAGCACTCTAGCTGAGCTTCTTCCAGCATAGTTTTACTTGTTCTTTTGGCAAACGCTGGTAATTCAGTATTCTTCACCAACGCCGCATTCCAAAGACATCAGTTATTTTTCAGTCTTAACCTTATTCATCGTCCAACACTTACATATATATGAGGGAATTGCAAAGTCTGTGGCGTTGGATCAGGCACACCTTAGACCTGAGAGAGCCAGAAATCAGCGTGCACACTTACACTGAACAATGTCTGAATAGTTGATCCTCTCACATGTCCTACTGCCCTAACCTTCCCTGCTCTTCCTTGTTTGTGGAACTCAATTCACACCCTCCGGCTAGATGTTCAGAGCCTCCCTCAATCCCTCTTTCCGGCTCTGCACCCTGCTCCTTTTCTCAAGGGCCCCATTTCCAGCCAAGCTCAGCTACTCCGTTCCCTCTACCCTATATTCTCCTGGGCCACTGCCCCTTCTGGCTTCACTTTCTGGACTGCTTCTCCTCTCTCATCCTTTGAAATACTGCACAGGACACCTCTTCCAAGACGGCTTCTCAGATCACACAACTAGCTGCCCTCTCTCTTCTGAGCTGCCTCTGCTCTTGAATGATTCAGATGCTGCATCACTTGTCGAGGCTCCATAGTTAGAAAGTTGTAGATTTTGAACCCAGGTCTACAGTCTTTAAGACTACTGTGATCCCCTCTGGTCATCACTCTCCTGTGTTAATAGAATTCAGAGGGGGTGTTGTGTGTGTTATGTGAGGGAGATGAGGGACACAGAGAGAGAGGCACTGAGGTGGCTCAGAAGTGGCACAGGATCTCAGCAAGGTAACAGGTAGGGGACCACGTTCATTGCCCTGGACTGCAGTCCACATTGTATTTGTTTAATGCATAAAGTATTTAAATAACAACCTAGGTTGGTAGTTTAAAATAAAGGTATATTTGCATAAAAAGATGTGAATGACCAGCTTCTCTAGAAAACGTCTACCATTCATTACCTCATGGTGGTAACTGCAGCACAAGCCGTGGCCCCTTCACCAGCAGTTCCTGTCCCCGCTGTCCTCTTGGCTCCTGCTGGGCCCTGGACCATTTGCCCCCTGAGTTTGGTCCCCTTGGTGTGTTACCTCCCCTTGGCCTCAAGTCGTGCCTGTCCCACCCATGAGCTCTCCCCGCAGGGAGCGTGGACGGCATCCTGCGCACCTTTGACCTCTTCATGGCCTACAGCCCTGGCTACTTCGTGGTGGACATCGTAGCCAGGGACCTGGCAGGCCACAACGACACGGCCATTATCGGCATCTACATCCTGAGGGACGACCAGCGTGTCAAGATTGTCATTAACGAGATCCCTGACCGTGTGCGTGGCTTCGAGGAGGAATTCATCCGCCTGCTGTCCAACATCACAGGCGCCATCGTCAACACTGACGACGTGCAGGTGGCCAGGGGGCCCACTCTGGCCTGGGAAAGAGAGAATATGGCCAGGGCAGGCCACAGGCCAGGGCATTCCAGAGAGACCGGGGTGGGGGGTGTGAGTGTGGCAGACATTCACGTGCATGAGATGGGGGTATATGACCCCTCAGTCATTACTTAGACCCCCAAAAGCCCTTTTAGGTCTCTAGGCCACAGCTTCCTCATCTATAAAATGGGCAGCCAGTGCCAGTGATGATGCAGTTGGCACTGTGCTTGGGCCTCCCTGAGCATCCGTGGAGATGGGGTTCTCACTGGAGGGGCACCGCATGGTTTCCACGGGGTCAGCCTAGCCCAGACCACAGTGTCCACAGCACCCCTTCTTACCTAGTTCCACGTGGACAAGAAAGGTCGAGTGAACTTTGCACAAACGGAGCTGCTCATCCACGTGGTGAACCGGGACACTAACCGAATTCTGGACGTTGACCGGTGGGTAGGGCCTGCACTTGGACTGTGTATGCCAGTCCTGGGGGGCGAGGACATAGCTCCAGGCCTGCTGTGCAAGGTCTCCCCCAGAGTTGGGCGGGCTAGCATGGTTTGGGTATAACATGAGTTCTGCCCTTCTGTGCCTTACTTGCCCTGTTTGGGGAATGGGTATGTTGTAAGGATCAAGTAGGATCCTCGATGAAGGTATTGGAGCCCTGGAAGGTGTGAAGCTAGCCAGCCTAGCTTTGAACGGCTCCCGAGTGAGGGTGGTGACTGACCTTTGGGAGCTCAGGGTGGGAGCGTGCGAGCTTCTCAGGGCCGGTGACCGCGGGCACCAAGGCGCAGGCCTCTCATCCAGGGTGATCCAAATGATCGACGAGAACAAGGAGCAGCTGCGCAATCTTTTCCGGAACTACAACGTCCTGGATGTGCAGCCGGCCATCTCTGTCCGGCTACCAGACGACATGTCTGCCCTGCAGGTAGCCCTAGGCCACCGTCCCCACAGCCCTGGCTGCGCTCCCTGCGGGTGGCTGGGTACCGCCCACATCACCCCTGTCCTGCCTCCCCAGATGGCGATCATCGTCCTGGCCATTCTCCTCCTCCTGGCGGCCATGCTGTTCATCATCATGAATTGGTACTACAGGACCATGTGAGTGCCCTCGCTCCTCCCACCGGCCAGCCTGGACCCCTGCTCCGGGACAGCCAGGGGGCGGTGGGGCCGAGATGCCCACCCAGGCCCCTCACCCGCGCTTTCTGCTCCCTCCAGACACAAGAGGAAGCTCAAAGCCATCGTGGCTGGTTCTGCAGGTAAGCAAGGACCACAGCAGAGTGGACATCACTCACACGGCTGGACATACCCCTCCTCCACACCCTGTTTCCCTGCAGGGAATCGAGGCTTCATTGACATCATGGACATGCCCAACACTAACAAGTACTCCTTTGATGGGTGAGTGGGGGGCCCTAGCCCTGCCCTGTACCCTCTGGGACACAGCTGGCACGGATTCCCGGCAGCCCCGCAAACACCGAGGGAGCACAGACTGGTGTAAACTTGGAGCGTGGGCACCCTCTGCTGGGCTGGCACGTGCTCCCACCCTCCCCTGCCCTAGACCTGGGGGTGCTTCCTTCTGCTGCCCTTCTCAGGGACTTTGCAGCCAGGGCCACAGCAGTGGCAGGGACCGGGAAAGTCAGACTGCAGGCTCTACTTTCCGGGCTTTGTGGGGCTTTTTATTCACAGGGGTGGGGTACAGTGCTGCTCAGATTTGAGGAGCCTCAAAGATATTACGGAGGGATGATGTCGTTCTAGGAAGCAGGCTGTGCTTGCCTACAGTGGTCAAGGGTGTCAACTATTACGTGTCAGACTTTACAGGAACATTCCTTTCTTGCCAGGCCCTCATACCCAATTGAAATTGGCTACAGCAAAAAGAACAGCCCTAGTTGTACACAGGATTATGAGGGTGTAGAGGTGGCCGCCTGGTGCAGGGTGAGATCTATGCCCCATTGTGAGTTTCAGGAACACAGATGTAGTCACCTTCTGTGAAGTGAGCTGACCTAGACTGATTTGTCATCCTGATCTCTCGGGACCCTGGGGTGGAAGGATGCTGTGGGTGGTCAGGATGAAGGGCAGACGTGAGGAGTGAGTCTAGGAAGGCATCTGTGCCCTGGCCCCAACCCACAGGGCCAACCCAGTGTGGCTGGATCCTTTCTGCCGGAACCTGGAACTGGCTGCCCAGGCTGAGCATGAGGACGACCTGCCGGAGAACCTGAGCGAGATCGCAGACCTGTGGAACAGCCCCACCCGCACCCACGTGAGCTGGCAGAGTGCGGGCGTGGGGCAGGTCCTTGCCACTGGCCACAGACTTGGGTCTTTTGGGGGTGGTCCTCTGCCATAGGTGGTTAAGGGTCTGGGATTCAACTCTGCTCCAGCTAATGACCCCGTCTTCTCAGGGAACTTTTGGGCGTGAGCCAGCAGCGGTCAAGCCTGATGATGACCGGTACCTGCGGGCAGCCCTCCAGGAATATGACAATATTGCCAAGCTGGGCCAGATCATTCGGGAGGGGCCCATTAAGGTGAGGTCCTGCCATCAGTTCCCACAACCAGACCCCTGCTCCTAAGGATGTGGGGAGGGGGTGATGCCTAGGAAACACCTTGGTCCTCACCCCCAGGCTCAGCTAGACACAGCCCTCTGCCAGGGCAGAGTGAGCACAGGGGCTGGGGAGGTGGTCTGGCTGCAGCAGCCGAGGTGGGGCTCCATGGTGCACTCCTCTGGGCCCTGGCTGAGGCCTCTCATCAGCTTCAGTCCTCTGCTCTAGGACCAGACACTTGTACACCCTTGAGTGACTCCCAGTCCCCCTCCATCACCTCTGTCCACATGGGGTGAGCCTAGGACAGCAGAGGGCCTTGGTGGGGAGGTAACCCTCTCCCTCCCCCAGGGCTCATTGCTGAAGGTGGTCCTGGAGGATTACCTGCGGCTCAAAAAGCTCTTTGCACAGCGGATGGTGCAAAAAGCCTCTTCCTGCCACTCCTCCATCTCTGAGGTAGCGGGGCGGGAGCTGTGTGCTGTGCCCCAGACCTGGGGGTGCTTCCTCCTGCTGCCCTTCTCAGAGACTCTGCAGCTCAGCAGTGGCAGGGACCGGGAAAGTCAGACTGCAGGCTCTACTTTCTGGGCTTTGTGGGGCTTTTTATTCACAGGGGTGGGGTACAGTGCTGCTCAGATTTGAGGAGCCTCAAAGATAGTACGGAGTGATGGTATCATTCTAGGAAGCGGGCTGTGCTTGCCTGCAGTGGTCAAGGGTGTTAACTATTACCTGTCAGACTTTACAGGAACATTCCTTTCTTGCCAGGCCCTCATATACCCAATTGAAATTGGCTACAGCAAAAAGAACAGCCCTAGCTAGTTTATGCAGGATTAAAGAAACGCCTAATAGGAGCTCTGGTGTCTAGTGATTAGAAGCTGTGCTGCCAATTCAAAAGCACAGGGTTCAAATCCACCAGCTGCTTTGTGGGAGACTGATGGGCAGTCTCTTGTGTGATTCACTGCCACTGAACACCCACAGGAGGGGTCAGTTCTCCAAAGAATACTGCCAGCCCCCACACTGCAAACTCCTCCTCCAGCATCACCTGACCCCCTCACTCAGGCTGTGAGGGTTAACACACACAGACCTATCAGTAACACCAGCCAGCTGCTCTGGGGCACAGTCACCATCTGCAGTGACTTTCTGGGGCCATGGACCTTGGCATGGCCTGAGCAGTGTGGGGTCCCTGAGGCTTGGGGGGTGGTCCGTGGCCTCTTGCAGCTGATCCAGACAGAGCTGGAGGAGGAGCCTGGGGAGTGCAGCCCTGGCCAGGGCAGCCTGCGCTTCCGCCACAAGCCACCCATGGAGTTCAAGGGCCCCGACGGGATCCACGTGATGCATGGCAGCACTGGCACGCTGCTGGCCACCGACCTCAACAGCCTGCCCGAGGACGACCAGAAAGGCCTAGGCCGCTCGCTGGAGACGCTGACAGCCGCCGAGGCCAGTGCCTTTGAACGCAATGCCCGCACAGAGTCCGCCAAATCCACGCCGCTGCACAAGCTCCGCGATGTGATCATGGAGAGTCCCCTGGAAATCACGGAGCTGTGACGGAGGGGCTGCTGCCGTGGACACCCCACTGTGGGTCAGCGTTGGTCCTCCAGCCACACAAGGCAGAGCCAGTGGGTCTGGACGCCTCTGCGAGCTGGACGACCTTGGTGGCTCTCCTGGCGCTGAGAGATTTCACTTTTACCAGACGCTCATTCAGCATCTGATCTCTACCTTCATAAAATTTGTTATTTTTTTAAGAAAAAACAAAAACCAAAATGCTAAGTGTCTAAGGACGACGTAAGGAGGGTCACTGGGGGTCCAGGAGTCTTGATGACCAGCTTGGGTCACGAAGCGGAGCAGGCCCTGTTCCCGCCCCACTCCACCCCTAGCCGGCATGTCCTGTCCCCTCCCCCACACAGCAGGAGCTGGGGGAGGCCGCACGCCAGAAGCCCTGCCCAGCATCTGGACTTCAGCTCAAGTCGCACTGCCATCTCTTCTGTAGCCCAATGGACATCCAGGTGGCGGCTGGGATTAGCCCTTGCCTCTGCACAGACAAGGTCAAAGTCACAAACAGCAGCACATTCTCCCCATCTCATCGGCTTCCCCACCACATCCAGCTTCTGAAGAGAAATGACTGATGTTCCCTTGGGTTTTGAATGTTGAGTGTTCATTCCTTTTTAATTTCCCCTTCATTTTGTTTTAACTGGTACTCAATGAGATTTTGGAATGGTCTGTTTAAAAAGAGCAACTCCCAAGGAACCTGCAATACACTCTGGCTCTGGTTAACTCTTGTGTGGCTGGCCTGGGGGAGGGGTAAAGGGAACAGGGACCTGGCCTGGAGCGGGGGTCTCACAGTTCTTTTTATTGGTCCTCATCCTTTGCACTAAAGGGGCCACTGACACAAAGCTAGTGAGATACCAAACTCTTCTGGCTGAGGCATCCCAAAAACACTTAAGACTCAGGTCTGGTTGAAGACCTTTATTGTTAAATCACAGAAACTTTAGTGCAAACGGAACAAAAAAATTCATTAAGTCCACAGTCTAGTAACAGCACATCTTCCGGGCTTTGCTTGCTACTGCCTGGCAACCAGAGTGGGCCGCCACTAGGCCAGACAGGACAGGGGCTATGCAGGGTCCTAGAGTCACCCATTCCCACCCCAGTAGAGTCCCTGGCCTGTAACCCGTACCAGGAAGCCAGAGGCTGAGGAACTCTCCATTTAAGAATATTCGCGAAAGGAAGTCTAAAAGCATCTACGAGTGAATGAGGCAAGGTTGCCCAAAGCGGCAGAGGACCCTGACAGCAGGCAGACGAGCAGGAGGCATGAGGTGGCACCACTGTCACACACAGAACCCAGGCCCTAGGAACTGCCACACTGAGCAAGCAGGTGGCATTCAGGCAGTTTCCTCCCTCCCAACCAACCCACAGAACCCCCAAAGCAAGGTATCACAAGATAAAGACACAAGAGACACCAATGGGACAGCAAAACCCTTGGCCCAACCTACTTCCCCCGAGCTCCCAGCGGCTTTTCTCCAACCCTCTGCCAGTCCAGCAGGACGATGAGTGTAGAAGGCGCCTGCTTAATTCTGCGCTTGCACTTTCACATATAACTGCCTGTCTTGTGTATTTCCACAGCAGCCAGCTGCCCCAGGAGCCCCTCCTTAGCGTGGGGGGAAGAATAAGAAAACCCAAGCACACCAGAGTCCTACCACCTGTCCAGGCTCCGAACAAGACCTTAGGTCCAAATAGGGTGCGTGGCCAGGTGCCAGGAAACACTAAGTGCCTCTCATCCTCTTCTTCCTTCAGGGAGCCACCATGCAAGGACAGGCTGACAGACGCCTGGGGCACACACAGTTAAGTCATGGGCTAGCAGAGAGAAAAGGGACACTCCAGTGCTGTGTCAGTGGGGGCGGGCACCTCCCACAATGACAGCAATGTTACAACAAAGGACTTAAACAGGGATGGGGGGGCGACTATTTTTATAACAAAATCAACAGATGTGTGCGTTCATCCCCCCAGCTACACAAGTAGTAAAAGATGCTGCGGTGTTTCCAGGATGGACCATAGCTTCTAGTTCCACACATGACGCTTGCAGTGTTCCACAGCCTGGAGGAAAGAGGGAGCAGGTGTTAGTCTTCAGGTGACTCGCTCCCTGGTCATCAGGATCAGACAGTGCCAGTGTAGGGTCGCCCACATGACACAAGGAGCTCTGAGAGAGCATCTCATTCCAAACCTGTGAACATGTCACCAAGGTGTCGAGGCCTGTGAGCACCTCCATGAACACATTCAAAGCCCTTACATGTTTTATAGAGGATCACCCATGTGGGTGAGACTAGGATCCACCCTTTTGTCGGGGTACAGCACCCCACTAACAGTGGGCTGGCCTACAGAGCAACTTCGCTCCATGACAGAGGCACAAACTAGCCAGGCCTTGCAGAGTGGTGCCATGGACACACTGACCGCAGCACATCCCTCCCCCAACTACACTGAAGATGGGGTCAGGTGCTGGTGGCTGGGACCCGGCTGCAGAAAAGAGCTGGTCATGGCGAGGGTGTGGTCTCTCTGCTTCTCTCTGCAGGGGCCCAAGACAGAGGCCAATGATGCAACCTTCCCTGAGTACACACAGCCCCCAGGGGTGACAAAGAGCCTCAGTGAAGAAGAGAAAGTTGCACACAGAAACATTAAGCAAGAAGGACCTGTGCAAACCTCTCCACCCAGAACAGCAGCTGCCTAGGAGACAGGTGCAAGGCGCCCCACTGGGCCAGCGCTGGCCATGCGAAGAGAACACTGGGTGACCACAGGATGAAGAACCTAGGCAGGCTCTAGGCAGAGCAAACGTACCCAAAAAAGCAAAAGGACTTATGCAGGAGTGCAGGCAGTGGGTCCAACAGGCCTTTAGCAATCCCTGAGAGTGACCTCATGCGAATCTAACCCTGTCATAAGGCCATGAAGCAGGAAGTAGACATCTCCGGAGTCCCCCAAACCAGGAGAGCAGTCAACCCTGTATTTGCTGCTCCTTGGCTGGGCGGCCATGACTAAGCTATTCCCTTCCCTTGGCTCAGCTTTCTCATCTACAGAGAGGTGAAGCCAAGAACTGATCACCAAGGCTCCCGTTACAGCTACAGGCAGGAACAGGAGGCAGAGCATCAGAGAGCGTCAGAGGGCAGGACCGGGATGCAGGACAGCCTTGCACGCAGGCAGTTTGTGGCACAGCTGGGTGACTTACGTTGCACTGGGACGCTGTCTCCATGTTCTGGCACCAGTAGCCTGGGCCCCAAACACACTTTTCTGTTCCCAAGAGACGCTTATGGCCTGAGGGACAGGCACCCACTTTCTGTATAGTGAAAAGGAAAAAAGAATAGTTGGACTTGCCCAACTGATCCTTTTCAAAACTTCTAAAAGCAGAGGTAAATTCAAGGCTCCTGCACTTTAGAAACACACCAGGGCTCTAAGTAAAGCAACAGGCTGAGTGCCCCTGCATTCTTCCTGCCTGCCTCCCAGCTCCGATCCCCTCAAACTAGGAGTACGGTCAGCATGAGTGCTGACCTGAGTGAGTGAACATGAACACGCCTACTCTTGCCCTGGGCCTCCTCTTTCTCCCCTCTGCCAGGGCCAAGGACAGCCCCAGGGCGTGTGCAGTGCAGCGCAGGCACACCGCTCAAAGGCACAACCGCAATGCTTACCAAGCACACGAAGGAAGGGTCCATCACCTCGACCAGGACCTCGATCAGCACGGGCTCGTACTGAGTCACAAACTCATCACACTGTTGAAAGAAAGCAGGGACAAGGGCTCAGGTGTAGCATGCCCCAGCAGAGTGGGGCACAATGGGCTCAGAGGGCACTGGACAGCCTCGAATTCCAAGGCCCTCGAGTCTAGTGAGTCCTGGATCTCTCTCCCAGCTGCAACGTCTCTTGTCTGTAAGGCCTCACTAGCTCGCATGTTATTTCCACCCAGTGGCTCCACTTGAATCAAGAGATCACCTCAGTGGCAGAGAAACAGCTGGCATCCCATCAACCCTTCTATCAGCCTACCATCAGGGGCTCTCCCAGTCTCTGCAAGTGCCAAGCTGTTCAGAGGTCAGGCCTGGAATACCTGCTTCTGATAAGGCTCAGGCAGGAAGCTGCAGCCTTTCTCGAAAGCAGCTAGGATCTCCTGCTTTGTGCTGTTCTTCTCCAGGTTTTGATCCAAGTAGTTAACCAGCTTCTTGCACACCTCACAGAAGCCACCATTGTTCAGCTCAGTCATTTGTACTGCAGGAGGAGATGCAGGCTCAGTGGCGGCAAGGCCTTCCCGGGTTGGCCTCCCCCCAGTCCCCTCTGTGCACCTGCCCCGTGGGGCTCACCTGTCAACGCCGGCAGCCCCTGGACAGAGCAGAGGTGGAGCATGCTGCACACCAGCTCAGGGCTGGCCTCCTCCAGGAGGAGGGACAGGATGGAGCTGCCGTAGGTATCTACCAGTTCCTGGCACTCTTCAGACATGGAGGTGGGCAGTTTGGAGCACACTTTTTCCAGAGCGTGGATGATTTGTTCCTGGGAGTGAAGAAATGTTCACGTGAGAAGCTTGGAGCTGAGCAAGAGTTGGACATATTTTCTTCCAGTTCTTACTGGAAAACACTAATTTGGAAGCTAGACAATAACAGAGAGGCTTAGTTCCTTCCTCATAGAGGGGAGCCACAGAGCAGTGCGGAATGGCCTGCTCTGACCAGCCCAGGGCCCACAGGTGAGGAAAAGGGAGGGGGAGCAAGACCGGGGAGTGAGACTCCCCCCTACTTCTCCAACAATAATGGCTAAACCAAGCACAGACGGCAATCTCAGAACTCCTAAGAGCAGCTGGAGGGTTGGGGTGAGCCCAGCAGCAGGAGGGGAGGAGGGCGCACTGGCAGAGAGGCTAGCAAACCTCACTGCTAACAGCAGGAGTGCTCGCTCAATGGCTAATACCCCAAACAAGGAACACACACCAGAAGCCCATGCGGGAGCTGCAGCCTGATTTTCTGAAGGTGATAACAGAGCTCTGCTGTGGGAATTCATGGGCCATGCAACTCAGAGGGGGTGACAGGAGACCCTGGCATGGCAAGAACGCGCATGAATCCACTGAGATCCATGCAGGGCAGGCACTAGGAGCAGGAGACACAGCAAGGGCATCAGGGTAAGGGGAATGCTTCAAACAAAGATGGAAACCATCACAGAGGGGCACCATGGGAAAGCCTGTGCCAGGGTATTCACTGGGAAGAAACATAGAAAGCCTCCAACCTTCATCACAGGAAAGTGGATCTTCATGGTTTACGTCAAGTTCAAGATCCACTAACTTCCCCTCCCATGCATGCATGCATGCATAGAGAATTCCAGAACTCCTGAATCAATACTGGATAAAACCGTAGGGTAAGTGTGCCCTCTAGTGGCCCTCAGGAGAGGCAACCAAGCTCTCAGCCTCTGCGCAGACAACTCTGCGCAGAGAACTGTGGGTGGTGTGGAGCCGCACTTGGGGTCCCCAGGGAGGAACACCTTTGTGGATACAGGCTGCCACATCTGGGGGCCCCAAGAGCAGCATGTAGGTGCAGACCTCAGCTTCTGGACTGGCAGCCAGATGTCTGGGCCCAGCACCACTAGGATGACCACCCAGAAAAGTTCTCCCGCAAAATCAAGAAAGAACATGAAATTTAAGGCAAAAACACAAAGAAAACAGAATGGCCTAAATTCAACAAAAGATAATAAAATCACAAAAGACAGACCACTCAAAGGTAAAACAAGGGGAGGAAATTTCTCCTATGGAGTACAAGACAGTGTAAACAAATAATCAAAACTGACTATGGCGCTAAATGTTCAATCTTTTAAAGAAAGCAAAACTCACACTAAACACAAACTGAGACCAGTAAGGAAAAATGAGAGACTGAGTGGGGAGTTGAAAACACTAAAGGGGAGAGGAGAATGGGAACTAGCGAACAAATGACTACAGCTGAACATGAAGCAGCAAGGGAAGTATGTGCCTAGTAGTCAGCCATGTGGAAGCATGACAAAGTAAGTGATCAATGAAGCCTCACGAGAACAAAAGAACAACAACAAAAAAAATGAACAAACTCTTAAAACTGAGATTCAAGTAAGAAGTTGAATATTATAATGATTAGAATCTCAAAATAGCATGACAACAATCAAAGCATGTTGTTGTTATGTGCTGTCAAATCGACTACAACTCAGTGACCAATTTTCCACGAAATAATCAGAACTTCTTAGATCTGAACAGACAACCAAGCTACATACAGGAAATGTCATAAATCAAAGCCCAACTAAAGCAGAAAGAAAAACATCAAGTCTATACCAAATATCCTAACAACACTATTCTTGAAAATCAAAGACAAGGAAAGGATTCTGGAAGCAGCAAGGAAAAAACAATTATAACACAAGAGGATTTCCTAATAATCAGTGCAGATTCCTCCTCCACTCCCACCCCAGTAACTGAAGACGCCAGAAGACAATGAAGTGACACACATAAAACCCCGAAAGGGAAAAAACCCCAAACACAACAAACCAACAGCCAAACAAAAAGACTATCAAGAGTTCTCTGACCAGCGAAGCCGTCATTCAGAAATGAGTGCTAAATCAAACATACTCCCAAGAGCAGCTTTAAGAATGTGCCACCACCATGTATTACTCACTAGTAAGTGCTGTGAATGGAAAGGCAAAGCATTAAACAAATCCCATGTCTATATGAGCACAAAGAGAAGCAGGGAGCCGTGGTGGTGCAATGGGTTACACAGCAGGCTACTAACCAGCTGAGTCATTTCTACTATGTTCTATGGGGTCACTGTAAGTTGGAATCAACCCAATGGCAATGGGTTTGCTTCCTTTCTAAGGACATGGAGAACTTAAATGAAACCATAGACGTCTGCTGGATCTGTTGGCTTAATGGACCCAGTGGGCATGTAGAGAATACTTCATCTAACATGAGAAAACACATTCTTGTCCAGATCACACAGATCATTTTTCAGAATAGATTATATGCTAAGACATAAAAACAAGTCTCAACAAATTGAAACAAGATGGTTAACAGCCTGAGGAATCTGATAGAGGATTGCTATGAGTCAGGCTGGACTGGAGGACAGTGGGAAAGAGGAAAAATCCACGTAGGCAGAAGTGGGAGGAGGGCAGAAGGACTCACAGAAATGAGAATTACTAGGGTGAACTGAGGAAGGTTGAATTACATTGTGATTAATGTCATAAAATGTGAAGGAATGACTGAAGTGAAAAAATAAACCTGCTCTGTAAATTTTCATTCCAATTACAATTTTAAAGAATTGAAAAGTTTAAAAGTGAAATTTTAAAATGTCTAGACTCAAACATACCAAACCTGGGACACAGCAAATGCAGGCCCCAAAAGGAACAGAGAGGAACCACCAGACCGACAACGTGAACTAAGAGCAGGAAGGCAGAAGGATGTTCAAAGAGCTACCAGAACAACACAGTAACAAAGATCAGAGAAAAAAATGAACAAAACAGAAACTACCAAGAATAAGCTGGTTCTTACCTACAAGAGACTGAAAGAGGTCTACAAAAAAACGCAATGTCACCCCAAGCTTATGGACTAGGACACCATCCCCTACCACACTAGCTCAGCCTGGACCCAGCCTGCCCCCTCAGTCAAACAGGAGAGGGGAACACGTCACCTGGAAGATCAGCACCCTACTTAAAAATTGTCAATTAGAGGCCAAAATTTATTATTACTTGATTCAGTTCAACTAATTGCAAAAAACAAAAATGAGAAAAGTAGTGGAGGGAATAAACTGAACACAATAGAGAACATACTGACACATTGGGATCAGTGTAATGAAAACTGTTGTTTATATACAAATTGTTGAGCTGTGTGCAGACTGTCAGATGAGATTCTAATGTGTGCAAAGTTACACAAAAAAACATATAAAGTTAGGGAGAGCTGTGCACATTCCTAGGGAGTTGACTGACAAGAGCAAGGGCCAAACACATCATTAGATCCTCCCACTAGGACATTCTGGCTCAAGGACAGGTCGGTGGCCCTGTGAGGGGGGGCAGTGCTGCCTACACACCTCAGTTCTATTGTTGTCGACAAGCTTCACCACCTCCTTCACCACGTACTCACACACTTCACAGTATAATTCTGCTTTGGCTGGGGCCAGATCCTTCTGTTGAAGAGAACAAGAACACATGATAGTCCAGACCTCAAACCCTGGCTCCTACTTCCCTGAGAAGGGACACAGAGGCTTGGCGCAGGTTAGGGCAACACCAAGGCCTCACTGCATTCAAAATTACCTGTGGCTTCCTCACAAGAGCCAATTCAACTCCCTGAGCATGTTTTATATGGCAGGACACCCATACCGTACCAAATCCCCTACCACCACTACAACCACCCCTGCTCCCTTAAAACCACAAAGTCCTACACAGGAGATAGAAGTCATGCCCTAAAAATGGTCCACAGGTGCTCTGTTCAATTATGGTCATTCAAGGTTTACTCTGAAACAGCAGTGGTGAGAGGATGGGAATAAAGGAAAGGATTCCAATACTTTTTAAAAGAATTTTAAACCCAGTTTTTTTAAAGTCTGCTTTGGGTTTCCCAAAAAACTGGGGTTGCTTTTCCAGCACCATGAACAGAATGTCCCACAGCCACGGACAGTCTCAAACTCAACTACTTTTAGGGGCCAGACACGAAACCAGACATGCAAGAACTTGGGTGTGTCACCCCAGCAAGTGGCTGGAATAAGGACCACATGGGCCGAAGGACACAGCTGGTACCTTAATGGGCTCCACCAGTTCCAGGGCAGGGATGACGTTCTCCGGGGCCACCTTGGCAGGAATCAGCGACTGCATCGGGACCGCTTTGCTCTCGTCACAGAATCCAGCCAGCCCACAGATCTCCTTGGGTTGCTGCAGAAAGCACATAAGCTCTCAGAAGCAGGCCCACTCCCCACCTCCCCTTCACTCCCCTCTCTATAGAGGTTGGGGACTCAGACCCACAGCCCACCACACAGACAAAGAATCTATGTTAACTTTAGAGGGACCGTGCATATGCTAGTTAACGTGGCGGCAGGGGCAGAAACAGAACAGTCCCCGCTGCTCCAGAGCGGGCACTTAGGGAAACAGAAGTCCTCGACACTTGCAACAGGCAACTAACTGCAGGATCTTCAAAGACATCTAGTCTGTTCAAGAACCTGCTTTCCAGGTTAGCCGGCTCCTTCTCAGTAGGAAAGAAGCTATCCCCATAAAGTAACAGAATTTCAATTTCAAAGGCAGGATATTTCAGTAATGCATTAAGGGAACATGATGGCCTTTGAATACCACATTCAATGTTCACAGTCAAAAAGATATATTATAGAAAATCCCATTTCTCCCCAATTGGTAAATTGCTTCAATCTACAAGGTCGTGAGGTTGATCCTGTTTCACCATCCAGCACCAAATCTATGAACCAGATAGCTTGGAAAACATGCTGGCCATCATACTGTGATGATGGCCCAGAGAGAAGTTTACCTACTTTACAAACCAAAAGCAACCAGCCTTGATCCAGGCATTTGCCTCCCACCACTAAAGCCCTGAGCCCTGGAAAGCTGACTGCTAAAAATAAGGTCCGCGAAATCACGAGTTAGGTCATAGCTGTGGATCCCTTTAACACCCAGAAAAATTATACAAGATTAGTGCGTCTATAAGGTCTGTCCCAAGTAACCCTTTGATGTGTGTCTAAAGGATGACAGGAAACAAAGAGAGTAGGGTGGAAGTTAGAGCAAATGTTTTAGGAAAAAAGACACCAAGATTCAGGAAGGGTGCAAGCTCAATTTCAGGATCAGTAAAAAACGTTCAATTGTTTTACCCACAGTTCTCTCCCATTAGAACTCTAACCTAGAGATGGATGGGAATGCTCTGAAAGCCCTGGGATGAGAGAGCTGGCCCTGTGGCTCCGTCAGGCATTCAGAAGCTGGAGGAGGAAGCAGGGTCTGGGGGGCCCCATTCGATGTCATGAACTGCTGGCCTGGTTATTATGGGTCTGGAATGGATCCTGATCCCACAGATCATACCATCACCCAAAGGGGCAAAAGCTACAATCAAGAGAATGTTTCCAACTCTCTGGATCCAACAGACAGCGGAATGGTCTGCTTATTGTCTGTCAATAATTTGCTCATGCAGCAAAAGCATTTCTAAGAACAGGCTAAGGGCATGCAAGGCTCACTCATTGTGACAGACACAAGGTGTTCACTGGCACTGGGCCCCTCAGGGAAGTCGAGGCTCCCCTCCAGTGCCACCCCTGGTTCCCCTTCCACAGGCGAGTGCTGCCTGGGAACTCTGAGCAGAGCACTAAGCTCTGTGGGCTTTGTTACTCAATCGTCCCCTGGAGGAGAAGGGACCCCAACACCTCGAGTTCTGGACCCCAGGGAAGTGCTGCAGACACTCCCAGCGGCCTATGAGTGCTGAGGGAGGAGCCCTGCCTTTCCTCATCAGTCCTTGTATCTGCCAGAGCTGATCTCGCCAGACAAAAGCAAGATGAGCCAAACAACTAAGACACGCAGCAGAACGCTCTCTACCACACACCAATTCCCCAGCACATACCTGATCCTGCTGTTGAGAACAAAAAACAGGAAATCGGAGGTGAAAATAAGAGAAAGCAAAGGACACAACAGTTAAGAAAAATTAAAATTAAAATAACAATCAAGCAGTTACCTAGGGATAGGGATGTGACAGAGCAGTGTGACCTACCTGTTCCCACTCTGTGGACACGAGGGTGTCATACTTGGAACACGGGGCAGCAGACCCCTTTCCCAGAAACACCATGCTAGAAAGGGGCCCCCATCCTCAGAGACCTGACCCCCTACCCCTGCAAGGCCTTCCCCACAGGACAGCAGAACAGGAGACACAGAGCTGCCCAAACAAGGAGCAAGTGTCACAATCATGTTAGATACACCCACTGCCCCAGGCCCCATGGCAATCCAACCCAGGGGGGCCAATACTAGTCAGGAAGGAGAGGGTCTAACAGCTTGCTCAACAGCCTAATTAGGTTTCCCTGTGACTCAGCCTCTCTCAATTACCTATCTTCATGGGAAAACCCAGACCTGGGCATCTCCATTTGGCTATAAGGAGGCCCATATCTCCTATCCCAGAGGCAAATAACCTAAGCATCAGCTACACGAATTATGTTCCCACCATACCATGGAATATTATGCAGCCACTTAAAAAAAGAGTTCATCAATCGCTAATGAGTAATATACTGGGGCAGGGAGGTCATGAAATTCAACTATGAAGTATGAAGTAGTATCAGCAATATGACTCCAATGAAGTTTTTTTAAAAATCCCAAATTGGGAGCTCTGGTGGCCTAGTGGCAAAAAGCTGCACTGCAATCCCAGAGGTATGCGGTTCGAATCCACAAGGTACTCTGCTGGAAAAGGAGGGACAATCTCCTCCTGTACCAGTCAGATCAGATTTGACAGTACACACAAAAAATAATAAAATAAATTTAAAAAAATCCCAAATTATATCTGCTTTGGGAAATATTACCCAAATTTTTCCAAGATTTCTATATAGCATAATTTTTCTGATTTGAAAAATAGCTTTAGGTTCACATTTAACCTGATCAAGCTGTATCAAAGACTCGTTTTTTTAGCACATCTTTTAAGCAACCTTTCAATTTCTGAACATACTCTGTTCCAAAGGGTGTGAATAATAATAATCCCACATTCTCTTGTGCCTAAAGGGATTATTTCAGTGGTCAGAACAGGGTCGTTAACATTTTTGGTAACTATTTTAGGTTTTATGGGCCGTAATGGCCCTGTAGCAATCACTCGACTGTGCGAAATGAGCATAGCTGGGCTCCAGAAAACTTTAAAGTATGTCCAGACCCCCAGGCTAGACAGAGAACAAGCTCAAGGACTGAAGGTCTGGTCCTGAATGCAACTGGAATTCTTGTGACTTTTAAGGACCTCTGGTCACATGTGATTGTACCCAGAGAAGCCACACGGCTTAGGACAAAAGTGGGTCATCATCAGGATCCGTGACATCGACATAAGGAAGCAGGGACGGACCGCATCCTGACGCACAGACGTCTTCAGAATGCCATGCTCTCTACAACAGTTTTCTGCATAGGGCTGGCTAGCCTACAAGCAAGGAGCGTGACCAATACATTCTCTGCCCACCAAGGAAACCCCAACCCACCCCGTACCCCACCCAGATGCATCACAAGTAAGCGCAAGGTTTACAGGCTCAAGCAGCAACTACAGCTAACAAACGCTGCAGTGCACAGGGCCAGCTCTAGGGGCAGTATGCTCCTCCAGAACTCAGCTTTGCTACCGAGCAAAATGGTCCTGCAGGTCCAAGGGTTTTAGAGGCAGATCCCAAAAATCCAATGGCCAGCTCACGTATGCACAGCCCCACAGGGTTGGGGGTCCCTGTGTTAGCCTTTCCTGTGGCAAGGGCCAGGCACAGAGAACACAAGGGAGGCTGGGGGCCGCTCATCAACAGTGGTAAGAAGGGGAACTAAACCGTATGACTTTCAAAACTTCTGGAAAAAGAAAAAAATTCACAGACCACAAATAAAGCTGACAAGGGGCCCTGCCACCTACCATATGCATCATCATCTGGACAGCAATTTCAGAATACTGGTTGATATAGTTCTTGCACTGGAGTGAGAGAATAAAGATGTTAAACAGCTTGCTGAAACAGCACACATAACAAAACACAAATTTCCACTAGTAACAGTTACTATTTTAGACTAGGATTAGATAACTATCTACCCAGAGCAAGCTCTAGCAACAATCTGGTTATTCTGTGACTTGCAGGAAAATACATGTGAAAGATGTGTTCTGAGTGTGTCCTCCAATCTCCCTACTGTATGGCCAAGCTTGTCCCCCAAACTACTGAGTAATAGCAACAGGAAATGTGGCTATACAATGGGTGTTTAGGAACTACTGCTCAAAACGATTACATAATCCTGATCTGGATTGAGTCCTTCCCCACATTCCAGTCTAGCAGAGGGTTCCGAGTGTCCAGTACTCAACTGGACATCTCCGCTTTTCACATCAATCTCACAAACACAGTTAATGGAACAGTCTCTCCAAAACTAAAACCCCTAAGGTGCTAACAAAGCGTTTTGGAGCCTGGAAGACTAACATTTGCTAAGATACTAAGTTCCCAGAGGAACCTCCTGCAAACTGGCTGCCAGGCTCCTATGGTTAAGAAAGTACCCTTCCAACATAAAATGATGAGTGTGAATCATATACAAGTCAGTCGTAAAAACAAGTTTACAAAGGGTCTCTGGAGTTCTAATATACATGATAACTGGGGCTTTTTATAAAAAAAAAAAAAGAAAAATCTTCATTAAGATTAAAGGGTGGTTTTCTTCAATGATTTTGTCCACAAAATATTGCCTAATCAGATTCAATTACCCAACAAAGAATTTTACGTTCTGGCTACTTTTTGAGAAAAGAACCTCAGTTAGGTCAGAAGTTCAAATAGCACTCCAAAAAGTGACGGGCTCCTGAATTTTGCGGATTTACTCCCGATGGCCTTGGGGCGCGAAGAGGACAGTGGGTCTCACCATGTCAGACATGCCGGGTCCCAGGCGGTCACACTCCTCCTTGATGTGCTCCACGAAGGACTCGACGAAGGAGGTGTTGGTCCTCACAGCTGTCTGGAGGTCAGTAACCATCTGAACGCAGTCCTCACAGACACTCCCTTCAGCCTGAGCAGAGGTTAGGGGATAAACACTGCAGACTCCCACAGACTACGAGGAGGTCAAGTCCCCTCATATCACTTCCTTACATATCCACAATCCTAGAACTAAGTTACAAAGCCAGCTCCTAACGTGTTTTTAAGAAGCCCTGGTGGAGCAGCGGGCCGAGCACTTGACAGCAAACCAACAGGTTACCCAGCAGCTCTAACCCACAAGCCTCTCTGCAAGAGAAAGACGAGGCAGGCAGCTCTCACAAACATGGAACCCTGGAGTGCGGTGACACGCTCGTCCTTTAGGGCTCCTATAAATCAGGATGGAGCCAACAGCAATGGGTTTGGTTTTAAATTATTAACAGGTTTAATATTTCTGTTTTGAGTACGATTTCACAGGACAGGGGTTACTATGAGTTGGAATCAATTCAAGAGCAGAAGTGCATTTGGGAGTATTTGGAGGGGCACTAAGAAGGAAGAGGGTAAAATCATCATCTTAGGAGTCTGCAGCCTTGATGAGCTCTAAAGTCTGACGCATGTATCTGCAAGGGCCAAGGCAGGGTAGGACGCGAGCTAAAGAAGCAGGCACACTAGAGCCAGGCCTCACTGCCCCGTCGTAGTCTCTCTGACCTCGCCTAAAGCAGGGCCTCAGTGGGCTGACCTGTGGCCTTACCTTTGGCTGGGACTTGCTCTGGGATCCCTCCTGAGGGTACAGGAGAAGAGGGATGTTGGCCATGAAGGGAGCCACCACCTGGGACATGTCCAGTTCCGGGATCTTATTGGACTCAAGCTGTTTCTGGTGATTCAGCTCGGCAAGGTGCTTCTGAAGAGACTGGCAGAGTTTGAGGGCAGAGCACACCTCTTCAGGTCGACTCTGAGGGAAGAGCGAAGGCCAGCTGAAAACCGTCTCTCCAGAAGAAAACACAAGCAGTACCCAGTCCCTTTACTCATCTCTTAAATCTCAAAAAGAAACATAAAACATTTTTGTCCAAGTTCAAAATACCTAAAAAGCACTAAAAATATCCCCCTCAGACAGGTTCGCCTTCTCGTATGCCTGTCTGGTGGGTATTCACAGTTCTTTCTTTCTCTCCAGATAAGTCATGCAGTCCATCTGTTTTATATTATCTGGGTGCAAGTTTACAAATCATAGTCTTTTAAATAATTCATACATACTTGGTTTTAGAACATAATTACTTCATTACAATGTCTGCTAAACCCCTTACTATCTATTCATTTTTACTCCCCTCTTGCTCCCTTTCCATCTCTGGAAAACAACTAAAAATGATTCTATCTGCGTGTAAACCTTTCCTTTGCTTTTTGTAAAGTAGTTTTCTACATAATTGTCCCTTTGTGGCTGAGTTAGGTCATACAGCAAAATCTGTTCTAGATTAATCCATGTGCAGGGCTTCCTGAATTCTTGATAATGTTCCAGTGAGAGACAGTACTCCACTGTGTAAATACACCGGTTTCTTTAACCATGTGCCCACTAATGGACACTGGGATTGTTTCCATCTCTGGGCGATTGTAAACTATGCTACAGTAAATATGGGTGTATATATATCTGTATGAGTAATGATGACAAGAATCGATGCCTTTGAGTTTTAGTGTTTTGAGTTTAGTGTTGGCTATCTCAAGGACTGCCAGAAGAACAAACAGAAATGTCTAGAGGAGGTGCAGCCAGAGTGTTCCTTAGAGGCAAGGATGGGGAAGCTCTGTCTCACATATTTTGGAAAAGTTGTTAGGAAAAGGGACATCATGCTTGGGAAGGTGGAGGGTCAGCAAAGCAAAAGAAGACCCTCACTTAACAATAACAACATCAGGTGTCACAGCCTTCACGTCTTTAGAATATATACCAAGTAGTGGGACTGCTGGATCAAATGTTATTTGTAGTCCCAACTTTCTACAGAAGTGCGAACTGTTTTCCATAGTGGCAGCATCATTTTACCTTCCCACAAGCAGCGCAGGAGGGTCCCAGCCCCTCCACACCGTCTCCAGCATTTGTGGTTTGCTCTCTTTATTGACCTTTGCTATTGTTTGGATTTGCATCTCTCTCACAGCTAAAGATCCTGAGCAGTTTCTGCAATCCACCAGTTTGAAAGACCTTCCATATGCAGATGGCTCCTGACTCAACTGACAATGGTAAGGCACACAGTCAACACAGCACTCCTTGCCTGTTATTTCTTTTCCCAATCTCATTATCTGTTTAACTCTCCCCTCTTCAATGCACCCCTTCCCCACCAGCAAATTCAGTATATTTTCCCTTGCCATGCAGAATGTGCACAAGCCCATGCCACTAATTCAATCACATCTCTCTTATGTACAATAACATCCTGACTGTTCTACCATTTTCCCCTGTAACTTACCATCTTCTAGTTAACTGTGACTCATGCCAACCTTCCTGGATACTCTCAAGGCTGTAAATCATTCTGGGAGAACTCTCACTCCTTCCGTTCAAAGTGTCTGGTGGAGTCAATCCACCAACCTTTTGGGCAGCAGACTAGCACATGATGCACCACACCACAGGGCTCCTTAGCTTGCTACTGTCATTGTTAGGTGCCGGGAGTCAAGGAGGACTCACAGCTACCCGATGAACAACAGCTCTGAACACTGTTCTGTCCTGTGCTACTATCTGACACACTTGGGCCCACTGCTGCAGTCACCGCGTCAATGTAGCTCACTGAGGATCTTCCCTCATTTGCTGACCATCCAGCCCGAAGAATTGCCCACCTTGTTCCCCTCAAGAACTCTGAAGGGCTTGTTACCACACCTAAGTGCGGCCCAGAGGGCCTTGCATGAGGAGACCTCACCACAGCTCAGCCTCACTGCATGACACTCTGGCCCACTAGATCATGCAGTCTTGGATTTTCAAGCATCTTTTTCTTCTAAGGATCTTGTGTTTCCTGATTCCACAAAGTTAATTTCTTGTTCATTATTCAAACATGGACTGTGGCCAATAGATAGGTGAGCAAAAGATGAACATCCTTATACCGGAGCTTACAAATACACTTTTTTTTTTAAAATTTATTTTTATTATTTTTTGTGCGTGTACAGTCAAATTGGATCTGACTGGTACAGGAGGGGATTGTCCCTCCTTCTCTAGCAGAGCATCTGGTTGATTTGAACCGTGCACCTCTGGGATTGCAGTGCAGCTTCTTGCCACTACGCCACCAGAGCTCCACAAATATACTCTTTAAATTATTTAGGATAAATTAACAGAAAAGAAACTTAATTGTGTAGTCAAAGGGGCAGTTAAGGATCTGACATGAACTATTAAATTGGCACCTGGAAGTTTACATGCCTTCAGAAATTCCCCAAGTTCCCACTTACTGCACCTTGCCAAGCCTAGAAAAGCTTATTACTCTGGGTAAAAATCACCTGCCGGCCCTCTTGCCCTGAAAAGAGTTGATTTTCACTGAAGACTCCAGGAGAGCGTTCTGCTGGGCCAGGGCCCTCAAAGAATCAGAAGCAAAGCAAACCACTATTGAGGAAACCAGACTCAATGAATGGGCTTTCTAGTGTGGTCCAACGCTTCCCTTGGGGCCCAGGAACGCCTTAAGGAAAGCACCTGCTCTCCTGCCGACATACCGTCTCTCCTTTGATCATGTCCAGGATGACGGGCAAGTAGGACTGGACTATCTGCTTGCAGACAGCAGACAGGTTGGAGGAATGAGGAAGCCAGTCGCAGGTCCTCTCCAAGTTTTCAAGGATCTTCTCCTGCAAGATGACACGAGGTGAGGTTAAGAACAGAAGTGAGCTGCTTTCCTGCCAATGTACTGAGAACAAGTGGTTCTCTCTGACTCCCAGAAATTTAAGGATGAAAACCTGCCAGTCCTGCAGGAAGAGGGCTAATGGCTGGCATTAAAACTCTATGCTACCAACTGGTCAAAGAAAACATGAAAATAAAAAAGAAAGATCTTTTGATCTGAAGTCTCACAGGCACGGAGAATCACGTGCAGGGATATAAACATTAATGGCATACAATAAAAAAATCCCAACTAACCCTGGGCATTCACATAAGACAGCAAACTGCCTGCGTCTGTTTATGCAAAGCTCAGAGTGAAGAGTGGTTTTCACACATGCTGTCAGGAACAGTGTGTGGGTCCCCAAGACTATAGCATCACTACCTGCCCAGATGGAAGAACCAGCTCCTATCCACGCCGCTTTAGCACCTAATTCACAGCCCTTTATGAAGCCATGCAGGCACCTGTCACCCCACTGCAGCTCACCTCAGTGCCATTGTCCTTCAACATGTTGCCAGCTTCAATGATGACATCCTTGCATATGTCACAAGGAAGGGATTTCTAATGGAAAATCACAAAGGAGAGGTTATTTGTAAGGACACAACAAAATTCATGCTGCACATGGATGAAATTAACCTTCTTGGCCCTTTTTGTATTTTACCTAACTAGTGAGAGATGATCACAATCATGTTCTACAAGGGTGCGTGTGGTGTGCACAGAAACAGTTCCTAAGTCTAGAGGAGCAAGGGGCGTCCAGGAGGAAGGATTGCGTGAGGCTGCCCAGAATACTAAGCTTCTGTAGAATAGGCATCTTCCCTTTGTACCCTCCAGCTCTCAGGGATTTACTCTCAAGAGCAGGTGGTACAACAGAGCTCCTGCAACTATGTATTAGACATCTGTCACAAGGCAGGTACTCCTAAGATACTGTCAGTACAACGGTGAACTGTGTGCTCACTACCCTCCTGGAACCCACAGTCCAATGAGAGAGTCATCTAATTATTAAATAAGTGGCCAGTAAGTTGCAGACCTAGTCAATATTTTAAGTTCAGACTTTCCTAACATATAACTCTCTTAAGTTTCCTCTCAAATTGACAATGCTGTCAACTTGGAACCAACTCAGTGTTGACCCGTCAGTAGGTTTTTGGAGGCTGTACACTGGCTGCATAGGAGGAGACTGCTCATCTTTCTCCCTTGGAGCTGCTGGTAACTTCAAACTGTCTGGGTTGACAAGGCAGCTCTCTACCCACTAGCCCAGCAGTGTCCCCTTGTAAGTTTGCTAGGGATAATAAATGACCACAAATTTCATGGCCTAAAGCCTCTCTCATAATTTAGGAGACTAGCTGTCTAAATTCAGGGTGTGAGCTGAGCAAAGCCAGAGGGTTCCAGGAATCCTCAGCATTCTTTGGTTCACAGCTGTGTCACTCTAACACCCTCCTTTGTCTTCACCCGGCCTTATTTCCCCTGAGTCTGTGTGTGACTGCTCCTGTTTTAATAAGAAAATGTCACTGGATTCAAAGAGCAGCCTAACCCCGCATAATTCAATCTGAATTTTATCTTATCTAAAAATTACATTTTGAAAAATCATTTTCAGAGGTTCTGGATAGACATAAGTTTTAGGAATATTCAATAAACTTACATTACAGCCTTGTGGGTTCTCACTGTCTCTTTATCTGTCTCGCTGTAATGTACACACTTTCAGACTTTAGATTAAATGTCCCTTCTTTTAGATTCAGAACCTTGAAAATAATTCATGTGCAATAACTATAAATAATACCTAAAAAACAATTAGGTGGCACAGATCAAATTTTTTATTTAATCCACACAAAAAAATCCTGAGGAAAGCGGAGCTCTGAAAGATGAATGGCTCAGCATCAAGAGCACCCAGCTGTGGACCTTGGGATGAACCCCAAGTGTCGCTGGTGCTGATGAGTTCACCTGGTGGCACCACTGACCTACACTCTTATCTTCTCAGACAGGCCATATTCAGGTTAAGACGTCCTTACGCTATCAGCCTCCTGATAAACCTGGACATCAGGGCTTCCGAGAGAATGCACCCCTCTCACCCCACAACATACAAGCGATCACTGCTGGCCAGTCAATTCTAGCAAACCTCCATCAGGTTTCCAAGGCTACAAATCTTAACAGGGGACTGCCCCATCTTTCTTTTATGGCGTAGCTAGTAGAGGTGAACTGCCGAACTTTCAGTTAGCAGCCCAGCACAAAATCCACGACACCACCAGGGCTCCTCCAGAGGACCCAGAAACTATGGAAATTCTAGTTGGTTCTCCCAGTTATTAGGCAAAAATACACTCTTGGGCAGAAATACACCTGCTTGATGTCAAATGTCTTTCAACCCAGGGACAAAAAACTACTGTGTCTGAACAAGTTTAAAGGCGTCCAGGATCATGGCGACACTTAGAGAAATCAATTTGAACCTTTGGCCCTAGTCAGGCTGATATTACTGTGGATAACACTACATTAAGAAAGGCTCAATACCATCAAATCATAAGATCTACACTTCTGACTTGACACATGTTAAACCTGGAAAGAGGAAGTAGTAGTAAAAACAAGATCAGGAAGCAAAGCAAATTGGAAAGCAAAACTGAAAGTCATTTGACAACTGTTATCCGGTTAATGATTTCAGAAATTTTTTTGCTATAAAGTAGTATTCATCAAGTAAGTGTTAAGTGTGTAGTCTTGTCTTACTGAAGGTATCCTAGTGGCTTCTAACAACTTAGATCCCAATCTCCTCTTCTCCAAACACAGTCTGCACCACAAGCTGCTCAAGGGGTTAAATGGCATGTCCCGCGGAGAGCCAGGAACAGCATCTGCATTTGAGGGTTGCTGTCGACAAAACGCGGGCAGCTCCCGAGAGGGCTCAGGACTGACGAAGAATGTGCACTAGGTTATTGTCACCTTAGAGACAGACGGGGGAGCTTTCTCCCATAAAGATCACAGGTGAGAAAGCCTGTGGGGCGGTTCTATTGTCAAATGAAGTGAATGTTTGTCAAAATCAGCTCTATGGCAACTATCACAGGAGGGTTGATAACACACCTGCATTAAATCACTGCCGTTAGCAGCCATCAAGTCACCCTGGGCCTTCAGTGAACATCCCTCAATCTCTCGGAATAAAACACTACTGCCCCGGTCTGTGCCAACCTCATGATCGGCTGTAGACAGCATGGTTTTCACTAGCTGATTTCTGGAAGTAGATCACCAGTCCAGTTTTCCTAATGTTGGTCTAGAACCGCTGCTGAAATCTGTTTACCTTCGTAGTTAACACACTAGCTTCCTCTGACAAATGGTGGTGGTGACTGCTTGAACTGCACTCACCAGGAATCAACCCAGATCTATAACATGGAAGGCAAGAACTTTACCAATGAACTATCATTTGCCTCAACCCATATTAATGTTTTGTATTTAACAGCCTGAAGATAATGAAAGTCATCAGTAATATCTTTCCTGGTTTGGCTACAAGCTAGAAATAAAGATTTTAAAACAACAACTACCAAACTCTACAGTCTCGATCAATGAACTTCCTGGAGACAAAGAAGAAAAGATTGGGGAGGGGAGAGACTAAAAATCAAAAACTCATAAAATGTATAACTACTTAACATAATCTCAGCATAAACAAGGGATGGAGGAGAATCCCCGTCAGCACTAGGAATGGGTCTACAAACCTCAGCATCCCTTATCCAGGGTGGAGAAGTTTTGTGCCTGGAAGGTGTGGTACTGGTGGGTGTTGTATGCATTCTAGTCTGAACTGACCCATGGTGGACCCTCCAGCAGTTTTTCAGAGGCAATAAATCACATGGAAAGAGACTGCCAATCTTCCCCCTTAGAAGCAGTTGGTGGAGTCAAACCATGGACCTCTTGTGAAGGCAGCACAATGCAATTCCTTACCACTAAAGTCCCAGAGTTCCCTGGAAGGTGTGGTAGGAACTCATTACCTCTGCCACCAAGAGCTTCCACTTCTTTGGTGATAAATCGAGTACAAACTCAGCCATGTCCTGCCTCCTTCTCAGGGTCATTGAGATGAGTAAACAAATGAGGTGAGAGAAAGTGCATGGGAATGGCAGCAGGTTTCCTCTGCCACAAAGCTGTCAAGTGCAGTCAAAGGGAAACATGGGGGCTCTGAGCTGAGGACTCACCACTGTTGGCTTGTTCCAGACATTCTGCAGACAGTGCTTCACGGCCCCACAGTCCACGGCTGTTTTCAAGTCCTGGCACCACACTGCGGAGCCTCGGGTGCATTCTTTTAGGCCAACAACAGGGCTGCCCAAAGCTGGAAGGAAAAGCAGTGTGATGAGGTTATTTGCTCTTCAACAAACTGATCCACTTCACTCCTTTACGCCAGAGTAAGGGCTACCCAGCTGCTTCAAGTCATGTCAGGCTAGGACTGTGCTCCCTAAGATTTTCAATGACTGACTTTGTTCTAAGTGAATTTGCCAGGCCTTTACCCCAAGACACCTCTGGGGAAACACAAATGTCTAATCTTTCAGTTAAAAGCAGAGCAGATTAACCATATGCACTATGGATTAAGGGTTAGCCCTAGCATTTCAGGAAAACAACTCAGTCACCTGGAGACCCTCTATTCCAGTCAGGAAGCTATTTTCATGCAAGGCAGAGGAGTAGAAGGGACTTCCTTACCTGAGACACTCTCAACTCAAACTAAACAGTATGAGGGTATAGCATGCCTTTAAATCTTTATAACCGCTAAGAGCTTCCACAAAGTGGTAAGAAATTTCAGGAACTACAGTGAACTACAGAGAAATTTCAGTAAGAACTACAGTAAACTACAGAGATTTCAATGTCTCTAAGTAAAAAATAGGCCGTTAAAACATCTGTATCAAAACCACTCAAAGATTCATCTCATTATCAGATGAGCCAATGATTCACACTTCAAGAGATTTTAAGCTGAGGAGCACTCTAAAACATCTAGTTCTACTGCAGAAAGCACCTTCACACATAAACAAGATTACAATAAGAAAAGTATACTGTATTTAAACTGCTCACAAGGTGACCATGTGGCCATGCAGAATTACGTGGAGTTTCACAGATGGTGGTAATGCGAACAGGACTCAGGCAGAAATAATTCACACAGAAAATGATTTGGAAAAGGTAAAGATGAGAGGTTCAACTTGGAGTAAAAGAAATAATAGAAGGTTTCATATTCAAAAACTTAAATTAGCTTAACAAAAAAGGTTTTAAAAGTCCTAAACTGTAGTAGGAGATACAGTATTTATTACAAGGTGGTTCTCAGTATGGCGTGTTTAAATAACAGTACCAAACAAAATCCCTTTTCATCAAAGAACTCTTATAGGAAAAACTCTTTTAGGAAACTAATTCAATAGAGGTCAAACAGAACACTGACAAATACTTACTATCACTTATAATACTAAAATCCATGCTGACTGGGAAAAAGCAACTGCTCTCCATACTTCAATCCACATTAAGAAGTTTAAAAGGTCTGAGGATAATCCAATAAAGTAAAGCAGTGTAATGAATGGCTGCATTATAAGATTTTTTTAATTTTAACTCCTAATCTTAAATTAGGAGGCAATGGTGGCCTAGGGGGAAGAAGCTGTGTTGCAATCCCGAAAGCACGTGGTTCAAATCTACCAGCTGCTTCATGGGAGAAGGACAGGAAATTTCCTCCCACAGGCTTAAATGCCTCTGAAAACTGGCTGGAGGGTCAGCAAGGAGTCGGTTCCAACTTGATGTACACAACAATCTTAAATTAAGCAAACATATCTGTGAGTGTGTGTGTTTTCTCTGCCAATATGCTTCTTAGAAGAAAGATGTCCACGGTTGGAAGTTGGAGGGAACCTTCAACCTCTAAGTATTAGGTAAGAATATTCTGCATCACGTTTCAGATGAGTAAGGTCTCTAGCAACACTGATGTAGGGGATAAGCCAATTACAATTGAGTTTTCTTTGTCTCCATTACCAAGAAAACCATGGCTATCAAAACTAATTTCAGAGTAGGATCAATAAGTCTACTTAATATACAGAAAGTACCAATAATAATTACTGTCCTTTGAAATGACAAGAGCATTTGACAAGCAATAAATAGAAGCATGTGGTCCCAGAGCCACTTAGCATTCTGGCTGCTCCAATCAGCAAGTTAATGAGAAAAGAGTTCCACTGTCCACAAGCACAGGTTCCATACATATCACATGCACAGAGTACTCCCTCTTCAGGAAAGGAGAGGGAATGAAAAGCGGTAATCACAGACCATGTCCAAGGTTCCCAGAATGCTAAGGCATTTTACCTGTGACCTTTCAGCACCTGAGCCGAATGACTGCCCTGCCATGCAGGGTACAGCCTTCCTCACTTTGGTGAGCAGAGTCACACACACAATGCACAGGAGCCCAATGTTCATGAACTGTGGATTGGACATATTCCAACAGCAGTGGTATGGCCCCTGGACTCTGATTTCCGTGGAACAGTGTGGGTCAGCCTGCAATCAGTACTAAGCTCTCCTGCTGGCTCCCAGAACTTGTTTGTTAACCCACAAGGCAGCTCGCTGCAGTGGTGTCCGCCCCCAATTCTAGGTCCCAGGTAAAAGAGGGAAAAGGGAGGGCCAAGATACCATGTCTCCAGGAGCAACCACCTCTGGCCTGTCCAGCCTCAGACCTGCAATCCTACAAAGCACCTCACAAGCAACACAGCCTGCTTTTACCACCAGCTTCAAAGGAAGGAGGACAAAGACGAGCAGGAAGCTAACACAGGGAGCTTTTTGGAAAGGCAGAACTCATCTCTCCAGTGATACCGGAGCCAGGAAAGAAACAGAAGACGCCAACAGTCGGACACTCTGAGACACCAGTGAACAACCTGCTGAGAGACTCAAACTGACTGAGAGTGATCTCTGAACAGGGGAAGACACTTCATCTGTTTCACACGGTGGGGAAACTGCGGGGGTCCTAGGTCCCTTGTCCTTAGACACAGGATACTTGGACCATTTCAGAGTGGTCTTAGGCACCCCAGCTGAAGATACAAGAGGGCTCTGGAGCTTGGGGGAGTGTCCTCCACTCCACACAAGCAGGTTAGACAAAGGAGGCTTCCCAGCGTCAGAACAGGGTCAAGTCAAGCACAAGGCCGACTGCAGAGACCCAGGCAGGCTCACATGGCCTCCAGGAGAGGGAGGTGGCACCTGAGGGGTGGAGACGGATCCTGATGTGATCAGGGTGTGCTAGGGAGTGGCAAAGAGAATGACTAGTGTTTAAGATGAAAGACATACAAAATGGCTGCTGGTGGAAAGCGGACGCGAATTCCTGACCTTGTGCTCAGGAGATAAGTTCCCTTCGGCAAGTGGGGGAGTCCTCCTCTTCAAGAGGGGGCAAAGGCTGCTGCATCTCTGCACAGGGGCGCGACCCCGCTGGGCTCACCCACCCCTCGGTGAGCAATATGACAAGAACCACTCTCTGTGCAGGCAGGACGAGCGAGCTCATGCACATATTTAACCCAGATAGCATAGCGGTGTGGAAGATAACAGTGATGTTTACACAGCACCGTGAAGACGCCCAACACCACAGAAGAATGAGGGTCCAATTCCAACAAGTATGAATGCAAACAAGGGCTGAGGGAGGTTCATGGAAAGATTTTCAAAAGAACAAGCTACAGATAGAAAGGAGGGAGGACAAAAAAAGAAAAACTGGAATGAACAAGACAGTCAAAGACAAGGGCAGGAATATTGTGGTCTGAGGGTCAGTGGTTTCAGCCCACACCAATGACCAGAGAGCTCAGGTCAGAAGATGAGGTCAAACACACGTGGGCACTTTCCTTCAGTAAGAAAAGATGACAAGCACCACAGAGGTCAAGAGTCTCCTAAAGTGCTAGAGATGTTTAGAGATGTTAGAATGTTTCCTGAGTCTTAAAACAGCCACACAAGATCCATAAATAACCCTGTCCGCCTTTCTCTCTCTCACACACATACACCCCCCTAACCCTTATCACTGTCCTGTCAGAGCTGACTCACAGCAGACCCTCCAAGCAGATTTTCAGATTTCCTCCTGTGGAGCAGCTGGTGGATTCAAACTGCCTGCCTTTGGGTTAGCAGTGTGACTCCTTGACCACTAAATCACCAGACCTTCCCTCTCACAAGAAAGCAGATTTGTTCTGGGTGGTTACAGACCGCAGGCCTCAGACCAATGTGAAGAGGTTACAGGGAAGCAGACCAGGGCTCACGTAAGGAGCACTAAGAAGGCTGCGGTATAAAGGGGGCAAGAACTGCCTCTTTAGAAAAGACCTCTCCAGAACTGTTTAAAATAGATATATGATTAGGTATTACTATCATGACAGGAGTCCAGAACTAAGGCTGCACAGTGGAGTGGACTTTGGGGGAGGGACTGTAGAACAATTAAAGAATTTTTCTTTTACTTTTCAAAGAGAAGAGCAAATGGGGGGAAGGCTGGGCAGGGAGAAAAGTGCAACAATGAATGAATGGAAATCCAAAGTCTCTGTAAACTTACATTAAAATTAATTTTTAAAAAATTAAAAAGACCTCTCCAATGGAAACAATCATGCATAGACAATACTCAGTCTAGGACTCTACCTAACAGTAAAGGTGGTCTACTGTACTCACTCTAAAAAGGTTTATTAAAATTAAATACTTGTGATAAACAATAGCATACACTGGTGAAGTACGGATAAGCTGAAAAGGCTTGAACACTATTATCCATGACGGCAGCAGAAGGCTGTCTCTGAGCCACACTCCCACCCAAACCACCACACCCAGAGTCAATTGTGACTCTTAGAGACCCTACAAGACAGTAGAATTGCTCCACAGATTTTTTTTCCTTGTTGTGTACCGTCAAATTGCCCCTCCTTCTCCAGTGGTGCATCTGGTGGATTCAAACCACACGCCTTTGGGACTGCAGCACAGCTTCTTGGCACTAGGCCACGAAAGCTCCCTTTCCACAGATTTCTAAGGCCATAAATCTATACAAACAGAATGTCATGTCTTTCTAACATGACTATGGCTCTTGGTTTGCTGTGCAGCACTGGAGCACTCGGGCTCCTTTCTTTTTCTCTCTGACTCTTCATTTAATCAGGTCATTAACAAAGACCTGAAGAGCAGTATTCTAACCATCTCAGAACAGTAACTTACTTAGAAACCCAAGAGTTTCGAGTGAGGAGGTGAAAGCCAGCCAGCTGGAATGCACCAAGGGGGTTCATGCCACCCTCCAAGGTTCTAAGTAAGTTCTTTCTACATGAGTGAGAGAGAATGTGAGGTGCCCCACAGAACACGACCACCCCAGAGAAATGCCTGCCCTCAG